AACAAGAGTTCATTCTTGTAACTAAAGATTTACATGATTTTCAGGATAAGCATGTTTTCCATGCATAGAAATGTGGAATGCATAGAAAATGTAGCCCAGATGAGTGCTAAATGTTTTTAAAACAAAATAGGCCTGAAAAAGAAGCAAAATTAGAACAGTACAGGAGGAAGTCTCAAAAATCCGTTGTATGAGACCTTGAAGTATAGTATCTCAAATCTGTGGAAGTTACAAAATAGTTGCAAGTTTCTAGATATTGACTTCTTGGAATGACTCACTAAGGCCTGTATGTTGAAATGCACGTCCTTGGCATTGCTGAGATTCAGTTAGATGGTATCATTTTAATCTTAACTGGGCCCTTGATAGCCCCAGTCCACATTCCTGAAAAGAATCCTGGGGATCATTGTAACCAAACTCTGTGCAGAACCAACCCTCCTGAAACATTTGCACAGTCATGGATGCTTAATAGAGAATGTTGTGGAACAGGTGAATTGTCTTTTCTCAGAATACTGGGAAATTTGTAAGACAAAACATTGGGAAATATATAGTTTGAAGCCATATCTGTAGATAATAACCAACTCTAATATTGGTGTTAATAAATCAAGCTCCACACCATTTATAAAGGAAAAACATACTGGCCATAACTTTCTCACCCTCTATAGCCTTATCTCAGAAAAGAGATAGAAATCTTCTCTGTCTTTGGAAGGAAAAAAAGTCTTTAAACAAAAATTCCATAAACTCTTGGTTTATGCATAATAATCCTAAATCAAATACAAATTAAAATTGAGACAACATGACACTTGAAGTACTATGTTTCCCCTCTTCCACAGGACTGGGATTGGCTGTACAAATTAACTCATGTAGAAATGGGTTCAAGACCTCGTTATCCAAAAGTAATGTAATTGGAAATCATGTTTATGAAAAGCAAAATGCAAAAGTATCCATTTTGTGTGTTCATTGATCACCATAAGACTTAAGTTTTATTCTATTCAAATTTTTATTCTGCAGATTAACAGACATGCTAAAATAGGACACATTGATATTAGCTCAAAATGCAAATATGCATAAATAATAGGTCTAGGGGCACCTGGGTATCTCAGTCTTTTAGGTGTCCGACTTTGGCTCAGATCATGATCTCATGGCTTTTGGGCTTAAGCCCCACATCTGGCTCTGTGCTGATAGCTCAGAGCCTGGAGCCTGCTTCAGATTCTGGGTTTCCCTCTCTCTCTGTCCCTCCCCCTGCTGGCACTCTCTCTCTCTTTATCAACATTAAATGAATGAATAAATAAATAAATAATAAATGAAATAAATGAAATATATAACAGAAATAACAAAGCATAACAGAACACAACATTTCCAAATACTACTGCATCTTCAACAGCAGAAGAAAATTGTCTTCTATTTAAATTATGCATACCTTTTACAAAATTGGACATTTAATTTTTTTTTTCTGTTGTGATAGCTGTTTTAAGAATTAGAAGCTTTAGGGGCACCTAAGTGGGCACTTATGGGTGCATCAGTCAGTAAAGCATCCAACTTCAGCTCAAGTCATGATCTCACAGTCTGTGAGGTGAAGCCCCTCACTGGGCTCTGTGCTGACAGCTCGGAGCCTGGAGCCTGCTTCAGATTCTGTGTCTCCCTCTCTCTCTGTCTCTCTCTCTCTCCCTCTCTTTCTCTCTGTCTCTGTCTCTCTCTCTCCAAAATAAACATTAAAAAATTTTTAAATAAAAGAATTAGAAGCTTTAGCAGTTTTTATTCAAGCTTCCAAATTCAACCTTCAGCATCCTTTCTACTTTGTAGAGAATTGACCAGTAGGGGGCATACATGACCAAGCCATTTAGTATGTTTCTATTTGCTATCACAAATTTGAATTTGAGATCCCTTATGCTCTTGAAGCCAAAGGTATGTTTTCTTTAAAACTGCCTATCAAACAGCCGCAAACAAAACTCCGAAAATTTGATCTTCAGTCTCTCTTGTTTTGTTATGAGCTATCAAATCCAAGTGTTATCTTTGTTTTCAACTACAAGACAGATTTATAAGAGAGACATAGTGACTTATCATTTTGTTATACAAGATTGGCAATGTCCATCAGCATCTGCGTGTCTGTTTCTCACTGCCTACAATGATCATCAGTTATATATATTACTTAATTTAGTTCTTAAGGCATACCTATGAAAAAGGTGTTGTCATCTGTAAGATAAAGCAATGAGAGATTTTTAAAAGATCACTCATTGTGTAGCAGAATAGAGAACCGGACCCAGTTTTGTCTAATTCTAAAGTTGGTGTGTGACATTACTTCTCATTTTTTTATGTTTACAATTGTGAAATATACAACACGTGCGGAAAATTACACAAAATACAAATGTACAACTTAAAAATAACTATAAAGCAAATACCCATCTCACCACCACCCTGTTCAAAACAAAGGACATTTTGGCTCCTACAGAACCACCCGGTACGCCCCCGACTCTTCACCACCCCATACCCTTGAAAGGTAATCAGCATTTTCATTTTTATCGTCATCATTTCCTCTCTTATTTAGACATTTTGTGAAATTTATATAAGTCTATTCACAAGGTATACATTCATTCATGTCTTTACTCTTTCAATCAATACTGTATTTGCAATTTTATACTGATGTATATAGTTACTGTTCTTTAATTTTCTTTCCTATGTGAAACGAAATATTCTATGTAATATACAACAATTTATTATCTTTCCTGATACTGTTTCCTAATACTGTTGATGAGTATGTGGGTAGTTTCCCATTTGGGATGATTATGAACAATGCTACTCTAAAAATTCTTATACATGAATTTTGATGCACACATAAAGAGTGTCACTAAGATACACAACAAGGAGTCAAATTGCCAGCCCATCATATCATCATTTTGGGTTTGTTTGCATATCTACCACTTTACTGGACACAATGAGAAAGTCTGTTAACAGGTGAACGGATAAAGAAATGGAGTATATTTACACAATGAAACACTACTTGGCAATGAAAAGAAAGAACTGCTGATACATATGCAACAATATGGATGAGTCTCAAAATGTGCTGAATAAAAGAAGCCAGACACAAAAGAACATATTCCGTACAATTTTATGTATATAAATTCTAAAAAATGAAAACTGACTTCTAGTGACAGAGTGCAGACCAGAACAAGGGGAGGAATAAAGGGAATGGATTACGAAGGCACTTGTAAGGGGGGGGGGGGGGGGGGGCTGGCGGAGGGGAGTGATAAAAAGAGTTCTCACCATGATATGTCAAGATTATTTTACAAATGTATTCATATGTCAAAACTCACCTATATTTACACCTTAAATATATGCATTTTATATGTCAATTAAATCTCAAAAGTAAAAAAGGATCAAATTATTTCAGTTTCATTATTTTTAATTACTAATGATTTTTCTGTACCGGATATTATAATTTTCTTCTTCTTTAGAGTGCTCAAGTCTTTTGTTCATTTTCTTTTATATTTTAGTTGTCTTCAAGGTCTGTAGAATTTCTTTATACATCCTTTCATTAGTTCTTTGCTAGTTGTATATTCTGCCACACTTTGCTGTGTCTTTTCACTACCTTAATGGGATTTGTTGAATATCAAAGTTACTGATTTCAATGTAGTTGAATGTGTGTTTTACTGTTTTTCTGTTCATCTGCAATGCCACCCCTATAGCAGAACAAATGTCCAGACATGTTTGAGTATGATTCTGGACTCTCTATTCTGTTCCATTAATTTATTAATGCATCAAAGTCAACTTATATTTTCTTAATACGTCTCTGTATGCCTGTTTTCCGCTTTGTTCTTCTTCAAGAAAGCCTTGACTATGTTTGACCCTTAACACTACTCTGTTAATTTTAGAATAATGTCAAATTCTTCGTGATGCTACTTCTCATTTTCAAGCTCTATTTACAAATTGAAATATAGTATGCTCACATTATGAAAACTTTATTATAATACAAAAATCAGAAACACCCAAAATCATATGGTTTGTTTCTATATAGCTATAAACCAAAAAAGGTTTAACGGAACCTATATGAAATATATTGTTGATCTATAAGGAAACTATTAGAACCACCCATTAACATTAAGATAACAGGATAGATGAGAATAATTGATCTTTACCTATGTACAATAATATGAATCAAACAATACACTATCTCATGAAGGAAGTCAGGCCCAAAAGAGTAAATAGTACATAATATTATGTAAGGGATAAAAAAGCACAAGATTAATCTATGCAATTAAAAGTCAGAATAGTGGATATCCGGGGCATAAGAGGGACTTCTAGGATGTTCTGTTTCTTATCTGAGTTCTTGTTTCATTGGTTTATTAAGTCTAGCAAAACGTATTGAGCCATCTAATTGTGAACTGTATACTTTTTATGCATATATATCACTTTAATAAAAAGCTTTTTTAAAGTAATTATTAATGACGTTAGACTTATTAATAAGACATTCTTCACAATCTAAAGGAGAAACTAGATGTAAAACTTCCCTAACGATAAGATACATATTGTGGTACCTCTCCAGTTCAGTTAATCCAACAGTGGCCATGTCCATAATTAACTCCCTTCTTCTAATATCACTCTTCCTGAGAAAGTATGACCTGATTCTCTTCTGGAGAAGAGAAGTGATTGTTCCTAGGGGTCAGACATATGATTTGATCTAGAACAATCACAGTTCTTTTTTGGAGTGTTTCACAATGAAACCAGAAAAGAAAGCCTTCTTCCTTTTCAGGTCATGAGGCTAAATGAATGCCAATTTGAAACCTGCATTCAAGTGGTTTAAGATGTATCAAGAATGTTAGCCTGAGACAATGACAGCAATAGACACAAAGAAGGAAGCCGAGGGTGTGTATGTGTGTGTGAGTGTGCATACACATGTGCGTGCATGTGTGTGTGAGAGAGAGAGTAAAAGAAAGAGAGAGGGAGAGAATACCTTTTGAATCCCTAGATTCAACCATTTCTGAGGCAGTTCGTTTCAACCCCAGCCTTTCTTATGATTTGATTATCTTTTTATTCATATCATTCAGGTTGAGTTTTGTCACTTGTAACTAAAATAGCTGGAATTGACAGAGAAATCAAATATAGTCCTTGCTAGTCTTAATCCTCTAGAACTCTTACTAATATTAATTGCCACATCCTGTAAGGGGGTTTTAGACATTAAATAAACAAACAAAAAAAAGTAGCTGTGCGTGAAAGAATACAACATTAATTGGAGACCCAAAAAGAAACTCAAATATGTTAGTATATGTGCTGCCAGAGTGAGCACTCAAATACTTTAGAAATAAAATAAGAAGGCAAAATTAAGATAACGTGGGTGAGGATCAGAAGTTGCTGACAAGTTATATTAAAGTAAACTTTTCCGAAATCACACATACACATTGAAGTTAAGCTCAGGGTTTACAAGAAGAAATTTTCATTTTTCACAGATACAGAAAATAAATCCAAAAAAATTTATGATCTTTTTTTTTTTTACAATGGCTTTAAATCTTGCTGCTCTTAGTTATGGGCAGATATTACGAGTTTGAAGTGCATCTTCATCCAAGACATAATAAAACATGCCCCTTCTGTTTCAACTACTTCTCTTTTTTCTGTATTTTCTTATTTCTCAATTTTTGTCTTCTATGATGAGATAAAAATTATTAGTATGTGAAGGGTTCATATATTTGTTTCCTCCTTTTACACACTTGATAGTGCCTTTTCTCCAATCTCTGAGAAAAGAGAAACAAAATATTCTTAATGGTTTATTTAAGGAAAAGGAGTATTCCAACCTCGACTTTGGGAGTGCATGTGCCCATCTAAAAGAGAAGAAATGGAGAAATCAAGATGGCAAAGTTGGTAGTAGCATGAGAATGTTTTAGTAGTTTGCAAGTGAGAGAGAATAAAGAGGATATTATATGCTAATTTGATTTCTCACAAATTAAAATAAGATTTGAGTATAGACTGAAATTTCTTTCTGTCTGATATTTGATTGAAACAGTGCAGCATGTATTGTTGAGAGAGGGTGAAAGAGAGTACATCTAATGCTAAAATCTCAGGCCATAAATATGAAAGGCACATATATCTACCACTGGCATTAAGACCACACTGACTACGTGGCATTAAGAGAAACTCTGAGAAGGAGACATATCAAAAAAGTCAAGTCAAGAAAGGCAGAAATGTAGGTCCTAAGAAAGAGGCATGTAATCAAGGGATGCCTGGGTGACCCAGTGGCTTAAGCGTCTGACTTCGGCTGACATCATGATCTCACAGTTTGTGAGTTTGAGCCCCACATCAGGCTCACTGCTGTCAGCGCAGAGCCTGCCTCAGATCCTCTGTAACCCTATCCTCTGCCTATCCCCTACTCATGCTCTCTCAAAAATAAATAAACATTAAAAAATGTAAAAAGAAAGAGAGGCATGTAGTCAAAGATCACACCTGGTCAGGAACAATGTTGATCCAAATCATGTCTGCGTCCCAAGCAAAGAAGCACATTTCAGGAGAAGAGGGCAAGGATATAGCTTGGGATGTTCAAACAGTAGAAATGACAGAAGTGCATCATTTCAAAGATTCTATCTTAAGACAAGTGACAGAGAAGTTGTACAAACCTGTGGGATATACTCTAAGGGTAGGAAGTCAGGAAACGTGAGAGGAAAGAAAAATACAGCTGGCTGATGAGTTAAAGGGTAGGACTAGTCATAGGACAATGACCCAAGAGACACAACGAACTGTCAGGTACCCAATAGATCCAAGCAGGGAGTAGCCACACAGCTGACACCTGTAGTAGTGTCTACACCACTAAATGCATCTTACCTGTTTCCTCAAAAGGTCACACTTTCTAAGAAGTCATCTGAAGCCCACAGCATATGTCTCAGCGCAGAGAGGATCAAAACATCTTTTACCGGGTCCAACTCCCACTCTGAGGTATAATTACTAACCACCAAGATGTCAGAAAGAGCAAATCCAAGTTCTTTGTGGACTACCTGTAACTGCAATACAGAAACAGTAACATATACTGTTTTAGGTCAGTATGCATTATGAAAGCAATAATAAAAAGCAGGAACTTAGCAATAGTGTTCCTGTTAGAGAAAATGAAGATAGAGATCTGGAACCATAAAGTACTTTCTTTTTTTTTTTTAATTTTTTTTTACATTTATTTATTTTTGAGAGACAGAAAGAGGCAAAGCACAAGTGGGGGAAGGGCAGAGCGAGAGGAAGACAGAATTTGAAGTAGGCTCCAGGCTCTGAGCTGTCAGCACAGAGCCTGACGCACGGCTTAAACCCACGAACCATGAGATCATGACCTGAGCTGAAGTCAGACGCTCAACCGACTGAGACATCCAGGCACCCCCATAAAGTACTTTCTGAAAGAACTTCACAAGTCAGCCTCCAGTACTACTGCTAATGTTCATCGAGAATACATGTAATAGATTGCATATGAATTAGAAATGAAAGGAACTAATAGTTGTATATGAAGTATTTCGGAATTGAAGCATTTTTAATACTCTTATGCTAGAGTCTATAATTTACCTGTTTCCTATTAAAAGTTTTAATAGGATTAATCTAGTTTTACTAGAGTAGTTTAATATCAATGTTTAATTCTTGCTTAGACTAATTTATCTATGGAATGATATTGTCTGGATTCAAAATAGGGTCTGTTCATTCTTCGCACTGTCAAAAACACTGACAAACATTTTACTTTCTGTGCTTTCATTTTCTCATCTATAAAATGTAGTAATGGCAGCACCCATCTCCCAAGGTTGTTATAAGTATTGAATAAGAAAATTTATCACATATGTAGTGTTCAGCAAATATTAGCTATCATTATATCCTCCCTACTGGTGTTCCCAAGTTCAGGTTCCTTTGACTCTGATTTATTCTGCATATGGGTGGCAAATTAATTTTTGTTAAGCTTTACTTTAGTGACATCACTACTCTTCATAGTAGCATTATCTGCAATAGCCAAATTATGGAAAGAGCCCAAGTGTCCATCAAATGATGTATGGATAAAGAATATATATATATATATATGTATATATATATATATATATATATATCCAAGCAGGAATAGATAGATAGATAGATAGATAGATGATAGATAGATAGGCATGGATAAAGAAGATTTATATATATATAAATATATATATGTATGTATATATGTATATATTTATATATGTATGTATATATGTATATATTTGTATATATGTATATATTTATATATGTATGTATATATGTATATATTTATATATATGTATATATATATAAATGTATGTATCTATGTGTTTATATATAAATATATATGTATGTATATATGTATATATTTATATATATAAATATATGTATGTATGTATATATTTATATATAAATATATATGTATGTATATATTTATATAAATATATATGTATGTATTTATTTATATAATGAACAAAGGGAAAAACAGAAAGAGAGAGAGACAGAGAGCGAGAGAAACCAAGAAACAGATTCTTATTTATAAAGAACAAACTAATGGTTACCAGAGGGGAGGGGGATGGGGAGATGAGTTAAATAGGTGATGGGGATTAAGGAGGGCACTTGGAATGAGCACCGAGTGATGTACGCAAGTCTGAATCACTATATTGTATACCTGAAACTAACATTATACTGTATGTGAACTGAATTTAAATTAAAAGTTTTTTAAAAAGAAGAGAAAAAGTTGCTGATTCCCCATAATGTAAACAATTAAGTAAACTCACCTCATGCAAACATAACTTCCATACTTTATCTCCCTCTATGAGGATTCAGCCCTCCACTAAACTGAATGATTCCATGACCCCCCCCACACACACACACTGCTGTATTGACTTATGCTACCTCATGGCCTGAATTTTTCCCCCTTTTTTTCTCTTCACCTCCTGAAATCCTCTTTCTCTTTGAAAGCTATTTCCCAGTGACACTCCAATAATCAAATCTTTCCCAATCCTTTAACACAATATTTTCCTCCTCTAAACTTTCAATTTCATTTTGAGTCACTTCATGAGATTTATCATACTCGTACTCTGTCAACTTTCTCTCCTTCCATTCCCCCACCCCCTCACCTCTGCTGATAAAACTGTAAGCTTTTGAGTGCAGGGAGATTGTTTTAATTACCTGTATCTGCTTAGAGACTATCACACTGACTTGATTATGAAAGATAATCAATAAATATTTGTTGAATTGAACCGAACTGAATTAAATTATAATGAATGGAATAATCTGTGTACCTGGAAATATATTATACATTTAATTTTTAAATCTTGGGATATGATTCTGAATTATCCAAGGAATTGCCTTAATTCTTAAGTTCAGTAGGTGCCCATTTTTATTTTTATACATGGTAATATTATGTGATTATAGTGACGTATCTTAGAAAGTGTGTCTACAAAGAAGGACATCATTACCTTCTGCTTTACAGGAATACATCTGTATATGTCTGTTAGGTCACCTTTTGTAATCAGGTCCATGCTATCCACATGAGTGAGCAAAACTACGTGTAGCATACCTAGGTCAAACAAATACATGTCATTTTGATCATTATAGATAGCATCAGTATTTTTCAGTTAATCAGTTATCAATTATGCAATAGGCTATCAATGGAGCAATTCCAGAGATTTGGGAAGGCCCACCACCCCTCAACAATATCTCCCCCTCTAACTACTCATTTGTACTCAGAATTCCTCTGACATAGGAAATTCCCTTCATTGCTTTCCATGGTAAGAAATAAGACTTCAAATGAAACCACCTCTTGGAAGTGACAACCAAAATGGATGCTACAATGTTGTTGATTGGTTTAATATCCTGTCCAAACAGTTGTTTTTATGGAGACTAGAGAAAAGAGATCTAATAAACAAGATGGGGGAGAAAAGGCCTCAGGAAGGCAACAGAATGTGTCAAAGCATCACAAATAACTTGCTCTTCTGTCACAATGTTAGCAAGCACCTCCCTGCACACCACCCTTGCAAGGCTTTAAATTTCAGAAAGCAAGTAAATCACTCCATGCTTCTAACATAATCAAAGTGGTGGTAAACTTGCTCTTTCCCAGACAGAATGGATAAGGTCAAGAAAAGCCAGAATGGGGCACCCTAATTCTCTAGTACTGTTTACCTTCTCCTAAGACTTGATGCTACGCCTTCCCTACCAAACATCTTACTTCCCTGATGCTTTTTCTTACTGAAATATTGTTTTCCATTTCTAATTATTTATTAAGGCTCGAGGGAAAATCTAGAATTTTTGGTAAATAAGTTCATGCTAGGATAGAGTGGTAGCAGGTTGTGAGAACTGTGCCAAACTCTTCATATATATTGATTTGTTTAATCTTTGTAATAAATCTCTGAGATGGGTACTATTATCATACTAATTTTATAGATTAGGAAGTTAAGACATAGAGAGTTAAAGTCACTTGTACAAACTCATAACGCTTTCAAATACTGGATTTGATTGAACTCCACTGATGGGCCAGGGAAGATTCACATACACAATTTCTTAAGTTTTTCATCCTGTTCTGAAACCATTCTACACTATAGTCTAATATGTTGTCCTTAATAGTAAAGTGGAATGAGACTCACCACACTTTATCAACTGCCTTCGAGTTTTTTTTATCTTTGCTATCATCTCATGAGAGAGGTATTCAAGAGAGTTGATATCAAGCACAAGTGCCACACAATGGATTCTGTCCTTCAGCAGTGGGCAGTCAACATAGTTACTATGACCTGGTGTGATCGGTTTCATGGAATTAAACTGTAAGATAAGCATAGTGCAACATATTAACTCCATGGTTATTTATAAGCACATACAATGTATCAGGCACAGTGCAAGTCTCTAATATTCTGAGACTAACAATCTGGTAGAGAAGACAGTCTATGCAAGTAGCTACCAACTCTTTCAAGAAGTCAGGTAAAGCTTCTGCAAGAAAGGAACACATAATCTGGGAGCTACAAAACATAGGGAATTTGTCTGATAACAGGAATAAAGGTATGACAGGCAGTGTTCTAGAAAGAAGAAGCAATGTGGGCAAAGGCAGAGGTGAGAGCATTCAGAAAGAAATCCGGTGTCATCATACAGAAGGCAGGGATGAAAGTGGTTCAAAATGAGATGCATTTATTCTTGAACTAGCAACCCCTCTGCTGGCAAAAATACAAAATGATGTATGTACAAGCCTATTAACTCCAGCACTATTTGTAATGGCAAAATTCTAATATATCAATAGCATAGAGTATTTCATGACCTCTCTGAAAAGAGGGGAGCCACAAATCCTTAGGTATTTTCTTATAGAGTAAAAAATGAAAGTAAACCAAAAAAATTTTATATGGTTGCTTATAAGGAAAAGGGAGAAATGTATTTAAAGGGGCAAAGAAAATGAATTTTTGAACATGCCCTGTTTTGTAAAGTTGACTTTAGAACTATATTTTGGTACATTAAAATTAATTGCATGTGCTTTGGGCAAATTTTAGTTGACTACTGAGGATGGTTCAATACTTTTGATCAGAGTTGTGGTGTACTTGCTATGATGGGTTGGAGAATGTATACAGCAACAGGCACAAACTCATGTGTTTACAGAGGTCTGGTAGGTAATAAAAATGAATGGAGATGTCTGGTGTAAAATAAATATATTTAAACAGGAAAAAGAGAACTATATAAATTATAAACATAAATATAAAACATAATTAAATTTAAAAACCCATCCCTAAATTAAAATAAGCAAAATGAACTTTTAAATCCATTTGGGGGTGTCCTAATCACACACAGAGAGATTATTTCTGATTGACTGTATGATTTTTATAATTGACTTTATTTTTTTTTATTTTTTTAAATGTTTTATTTATTTCTGAGACAGAGAGAGACAGAGTGAGCAGGGGAGGGTCAGAGAGAGAGAGGGAGATACGGAATCTGAAACAGGCTCCAGGCTCTGAGCTAGCTGTCAGCCTGATGTGGGGCTCGAACCCACAAACCGTGAGACCATGACCTGAGCCAAAGTTGGACGCTTAACCGACTGAGCCACACAGGTGCCCCTATAATTGACTTTAAAACACAGTAATTTGTATACTCCTACTACTTGATATGCCTGAAATATATAATATAATAATATTTTTGAAATAAAAATTAAATAAATAATGTGGTTCAAATTTTAAACTTTTGCTGATTTTAATTATGATTATATTTATACTGAATATGGTTAGGATTAAACTGTTCATGGTACTGTTAGAGTTTGTTTGAGAGACAGAGAGAGAGAGCATGAACAGAGAGAGAGAAAGAAAGAATCCCAAGCAGGCTCCACACTGCCAGAATACAGGCCGACAAAGGCCTTGATCTTACAAACAATTGAGATCACGACCTGAAACAATCAAGAGTTGGATGCTTAACTAACTGAGCCACCAAGGTGCCTTGGTACTATTACAGTTTTATTCTGAGATCAGTGAATATTTTGTGAGAAAAAGCAAATGAGTTGTGACATAACATTCCATCATCTCTGCGGTCCTTGAAAATAGAGACTCCATTTGAGAGAAAGCAGATATTGAAACAAGACAGAAGGAGATTAAGACTGTCTAGTCCTGAATTTGAAAGAGAAGTTTCTATATGAATTTATAATGCACTTTATCATACAAAGATATATTTCTTACCTCTGTCCACCAAAAAGGTGAAGAACCAATGACCAATCTCATAGCAATAACAATTCTAATAAGCCAAACCAAGACTTCTTAGAGAAATAACTGACTCAAAAATCTGGCACTGGAAATATATAAGGTGTGGCTTGGACATCTAATCATACCAGAAATCAAGGGATATAGTAGACTTTTAGGTTCATGTCAAAAGGACTCAAGATCTAAATTGTAGAGGCTCCCACTGCTCAGAGATGTTAAATGTGATATTAAGAATGGAGAAAATGGCACAGGATTGAAGCACATTAAATGTGTTCAAATCATGAGTTCATAGTGATAATGAAATAATCACTGGTCATTATTGGCAAATACAAAGATAGCACCTTAAGATTTTAGAAGCATGTAGGGGCGCCTGGGTGGCTTAGTCGGTTAAGCGTCCGACTTTCGCTTAGGTCATGATCTCGTGGTTCGTGGGTTCAAGCCCCACGTCGGGCTCTGTGCTGACTGTCAGCTCAGAGCCTGGAGCCTGTTTCAGTCTGTGACTCCCTCTCTCTCTGACCCTTCCCTGCTCACACTGTCTCTCTCTCTCTCCTAGAAATAAATAAAAATATTTAAAAAAAAAAAAGATTTTAGAAGCATGTAGAAAAGAAAAAATTCTGCCTTTCCCATGTTAACTGTACTACCAGGTAATCAAACAGTAGATGAAGAGAAATTTATCTCCTCATCTAATAAATGTAAAATAAAGAAAGAATAATAAAGATAGAATATCACATTTTCATACCCTAATACATACCTGAATCTAGGCATTGAACATTAAAGAGTATTGACATTAGAAAAGCAAAAGGGATCAAATAAAACAAAATGGGTGTCTCCTCATGGAAGAGCACAGCACCTCTACAAAGTAGAAGCTGAATCTGAACATGCTTCTAGACTCAATTACTAATTTTCAGGATGCATAGAAAACAAAAGACCACAGGAAACTGCATCAAGGGATGCATACAACAAAGTTCAGACTATGTTTAAGAAACAACAGGATTTCTTAAAAAAAACATTATAAGGAAAAACACCAAAAGAGATAGAGGAAGAATATACAGGTTAAAAGAGACTGAATAAATTTATTTCAATCATTTGCAAACAAACTGTTTTTTAAAATGCATGATACTAAGGCGCCTGAGTGGTTCAGTTGGTTAAGCATCTGACTCTTGATTTCAACTCAGGACATGACCTCATGGTTTCAGCTGTTGGAGCCCTGTGTTGGGCTCTGCACTGGTGGTGTGGAGCCTGCTTGGGGTTCCCTCTCTCTCTCTGTCTCTTTCTCTCCCTTTCTCTCTCTACCCCTCCCCTATTCACGCTGTCTCTGTCTCTCTCAAAATAAATAAATAAACTTAAATTTGTTTTTAAAAGCATGATACTTACTTGTAAGACAATTAGGAACTTGGACATTGGGTAATGGTTGATAAATTAAGAAACAATGATAAATTTAAGATATGATAAGGGTATTATGGCTGTCTATAACAAAAAGTATATATCTTTACATACATAAATGCATATGCATTTATGGATTAATTGTTATGACATGTTAAATTTGATTCCAAATACTATAGGAGAAGAGAAAGTGAGTAGACAGAGATAATGGGTTATGAGTCAGAGATTGTTGAAGCTGAATAAATGAGAAGTCATTAAATTGTTTTGTCTCCTTTTGCATAGGTTTAGAATTCTCTATAATAAAATTGTTTTTTTTAAAAAAGCATATTTTTAAAAAAAAAAAACTTTACCTCTATACCAAAGAATGGAAAGCCCTTGCATGAATGGAAAAATAAAACATGCTGTGTTTCTGGATAAGAAAGCTGTATATGTAAAGATGTAAACCAACTTTATATATAAAATTTTAATGTAATTTTAATCAAAGCACCAACAAATCAAACATAAATAATCAAATAAAACACAAACAGGCTCATTTGGAAAAATATATTGTGAAAATGGTCCAGAAAAACAAATGCAAGAAATAAATAACAAATATGACTTGTTCAGTGAGGCATCAAGACATTTTGATTGCTTTGGTAATTAAAACAATTAAATGATATGGCAAAAAAATGAATATCATAAAGGAATCGATAAATATAGCAATAGAACAAACTAGAGAATATAAAAACCAATCCCCATATTTAGTAGGGAAAAGATGCAAAGACATTCAATGGAAGATGTTGGTCCAATTGACTAATCATTTGGAACAGGTGAATTAATGATTAATTCAAAATTCAAATGTTTATTGAAAGTACTAGAAAGTTATGGGACACCTGGGTGGCTCAGTCAGTTAAGCACCAACTTCAGCTCAGGTCATGATCTCACCATTCATGAGTTCAGGCCCCATGTCGGGCTCCGAACTGATAGCTCAGAGCCTGGAGCCTGCTTCAGATTCTATGTCTCCCTCTCTCACTCTCTCTGCCCCTCCCCACTTGCGCTTTGTCTTTCTCTCTCTTTCTTTCAAAAATAAATAAACATTAAATATAAATAAATAAAAGGACTGGAAAGTTAAAACACAAATTGATAGACTAAAGTGGCTTTCTCTTTAATCTCCTCCCCTCTCTTGCCTAGAACACGGACAAGGCTCAAGTAAGAACATCTGGAGAGCATAATGATGAAAGTCCCATGTCTTAGTCAGCTCAGGCTGCTATAAAAAATTACCTTGTGGGATGGCTTAAACAACAAAAATTACTTCTCACAGCTCTGGGAGCTAGAAAGTCCAAGATCAAGGTGCTGGCAGATTTGGTATCTGATGACAGCCTGCTTCCTGGTTTGTAGATAGCCACCTTCTTGCTGTGTCCTCATATGGTGGAGACAGAGGTCATCTTTCTTATGTCTCTTCTTAAAAGGACACTAGTCCCACTCATGAGGGCTTTACTCTCATGACATACTCACCTCTCAAAGGCCCCACCTCCTAACACCACAGCACTGGTGTTAGGGCTTTAGCATATGAATTTTAGGGGGGACACAAATACTTGATCCATAGCACCCCATGCTGAGGGTCTCAGAACAGAAAGTTAGAAGGACCCTTGAATTTAATAACTTTTGAGAGCTTCCACATTGACACAAAGCCACCTACCTTCAGACTTCCTGTTACATAAGAAAAATGACCTACGTGAGTAAATTGACGTAGTTGGAGTTCTGTTTCACGCAGCCAAAGGCAGCTGAATATGTAACAGCATTCAGAGTTGTAACAGCTATGAGAGAAGAGTCTTTTGGATGTTTTAATTCTTTGTAAAATAAAATATCAAGAAGGAGCAAATGATTTTGAATGAGTGCACTTGAAGAAAATAAATGATGATGCATTAAATTAGATTAGCATCTGCTGTTGTCCAGAGTAAGCAAAAATAAACACCTTAAATATCAATTATAACCTTTCAATGATTGGCCCAATCATACCTGGTATCTGTCAGAAATGTGGCCTTTCAAGATGTAGGCTATGTCATCCACACACAGTCCTTTATCTTTCACATGTAGCCCCATTGAGTCACACAGAATAAATGGCAGCAAGTTGCCATCCAACATATCCTTAATGGAATATGTCCTGTACTACAGAGGAGAAAAAAGCAATTTTAAGAGTACACTTCTTAAAAACTTGCAAACGGAGGGACGCCTGCGTGGTTCAGTTGGTTAAGCATCTAACTTCGGCTCAGGTCACAATCTCACAGCTCTGAGTTCGAGCTCTGCATTGGCCTCTGTGCTGACAGCTCAGAGCCTGGAACCTGCTTCAGATTCTGTGTCTCCATCCCTCTCTCTCTCTGCTCCTCCTCTGCTCATGCTCTGTCTCTCTCTCTCTCTCAAAAATCAATAAATATTAAAATAATAATAATATTTTTAATATTACAAATGGAGAAAAAGTTTACATGTAATGAAGTTGATCAGCAAAAGACTTCAAACCTAATTAATCTGAACAAAGAAGCAAAGGCTGAGTGACCTTCCAATGGACATACCTTGTCAGATACCCCGGTTGTATCAGAGCCCACCAGAGCCTGGTGTGTGACATGGCCTCGGAAAACAGACTTTACTGAGTTGAAAAAGCTAGACTTCCCAGCTCCAGTTGGGCCCAGCAGCAGAATTCGTACTTGGGGAACGAGGTTTCTATATGGTTTGTACATTTTCATGTCTGACAATAAGCTCTGGCGGAGGCTGTACAGACAAGACAATTTTAACAATGATTGAGGGTAGGTCACAAGAACTTACCACACATTGTCCTAGAATTTGTTTTTTTTATGTATTATTATTTACTTTTGATGAGCCACTTGTTTTCCTACTAAAAGGACTGGAGGGGCGCCTCGGTGGCTTAGTCGGTAAAGCGTCCGACTTTCGCTTAGGTCATGATCTCGCGGTTCGTGGGTTCGAGCCCCGCGTCGGGCTCTGTGCTGACTGCCAGCTCAGAGCCTGGAGCCTGTTTCAGTCTGTGACTCCCTCTCTCTCTGACCCTCCCCTGCTCGCGCTGTCTCTCTCTCTGTCTCCTAGAAATAAATAAAACATTAAAAAATTTAAAAAAAAATAAAAAAAATAAAAGGACTGGAAACTAACCTACTTCAAAGAAGAAAAAGCAAAAATAACACTTGTAAAGCCAATCAGACATACAACCTTTCAGAGTTAAGCAACCAGACCATACAAACCTAGTACTAAATAGGAACTATGTTAAACATGAAAATAATTTATCAATATAAACTTCAAAAACCACAGTATAATATGTGACTTTTGAAGTTTATGGAAGTGGATAATTTCTGACATGATCTTGCGATTCTATAAGCATTCTCCAACCACCAACCACCCCTTCCAAAGCAATTTCCTAAAGTGGTAGAAACTGAAACTGCAACAATTCTAAGCAAAAGTGTAGACTTGCAGCCAAATAATAATTTTCCTTCACATATATAAAAGCATTAGGAATGTTTTCCCTCTCCTCAGTGTTCTTTCTGTTTTAACATTAGTACTCATCATATAGCTTTATGATTATAAATATAGTTACAGCTTATTCTTCACGATCCACAAGTTATCTGTTATAATTTGTGCTACCGATTTATTGACAGAATATAGAATATGTCTAAGATAATTAACAGAATAACAGAACATTGACTTACTCAGTAATTCCTTCCAGAGTCCTTATGCCCAATAAATCTAGGGAAATAATCAAAGAAAAATGAAAATTACAAGTTGTTGAAATGACTAGTTGACTGAATGAATGTCAATGCATTCGGTAGGGAAAAAGACAAAAAGTAGCTTTCCCATGAGAACGATGCAGTATAATGAAAGCAAGTGGAGAAAATTATGGCAAATCTCCTTAATATGTCATTTGCAGAATCTAGAGCTAGAAGCAAGGTGGGCAATGTAAGACTAGATTTTCTGCAAATCCCTTCTCACCCAATTACCCAGCAGTAGTGTGTGGCTTGTTCCCTCATGGGAAATGAGAACTGGGTCCTTTCTGAATCAGAGAAGCAAAGCGTAGAGACATGGACAGGCCAGGGAAAGGCTGGGAATATTTTAAGATAGTTCTTCTCCATAATCCAATAGGTCTGAAAGGGATAATGTACAGAGACACCCAAACAAAAAACCTACAGACAGCAGATTTTCTCCAAAACCTACTATCAACAATTGGAGCTCCTGGAGCTTCCAGGCCAATTGATTTTCTTCTTAGCTCCAAAGAGAATGTAGGACTCATCCCTACCCAATTAGAGCACAGTGAGAGGTTAAGAAGTGGTCTGAGGGCTTTATTTGAACCAATGAGACTAGGCACAAAATTATTTATTTCCTGTGAAGAGACATTCTTTTGTGGTGGGTTTAAAATGAGGGGCACCTGGGTGGCTCAGTCGGCTAGGCGTCAGTCCAGGTCATGATCTCACCGTTCGTGAGTTCAGGCCCAGTGTCAGGCTCTGTGCTGGCAATTCTACACTACAAAAGAAGAATATTATGTGCAAGTTTCATAAATATGGTTATATATAGGGATTCTAGGCGGTTCAATCAGTTAAGTGTCTGACTCTTGATCTCGGCTCAGGTCATGATCCCAGGATAGTGGGATCAGGTTCTACACTGGGCTCCACACTGGGCATGGAGCCTCCTTGAGATCTCTGCCCTCTCCTCCCATGCTCTCATGCACTCTCTCTCTAAAATAAATAAATAAATAAGGCTATATGTATGGAAACAAAACCTCTTTAAATTACCAAAAGTAAAAATAGTGAAGACTACAACGACAATGATATAATCAAACTGGAAAAGAATAAGCAAAGAGAAAAGCAACCTCTTGGAATTTCACAAAGCACTCTCTTAACTTTAACATTTAAAAGGAAATTAAAGATCAAAATTGTAAGTATATTGCAAGTAACAAAAATATAAACTTTATATCAATCTTGTGATAAAAGTAACTTTCATTAAGAAAAAGAAAGGAGAGGGGCGCCTGGGTGGCTCAGTCGGTTAAGCGTCCGACTTCAGCCAGGTCATGAACTCACGATCGTGGGTTCGAGCCCCATGTTGGTCTCTGTGCTGACAACTAGCTCAGAGCCTGGAGCCTGCTTCGGATTCTGTGTCTCCCTCTCTCCCTGACCCTCCCCTGCTCACGCTGTCTCTCTATCTCTCAGAAATAAATAAAACATTAAAAATTTTTAAAAAAAAGAACAAAAAAGGAGGAAAGTTTTGAATATAAAAACTAGAAACAGAAAAGGATAAAGAAATGAACCTTAGAAATATAAGAAGGAATTAACAGAAACACAAGACAAATTTCATAAATTAAGGGATAGGTTACATTAATATAGTAATGGATTGGTTTAAACTGTAAAACAAATTACTGAGTAGTCTAATCAAAGAAAGCCAAATTCACAAAGTGCCATGTCACAGCTCATGTACCCAAATGACTACATGTCACATAACCAGTAGTAAAACGTGTTGGGAAAAGTTTAGAAGTGACAGAAACTCCCATGCACTGCTTGTGGGAGGGGAAATGGACTATCTATGACTACGTTGGAAAGCTTTGTCAGTGTTCACTGAAACAAACATACATGCACCTGGTGCCCCAGAAGTTTTATATTTATATTCTTCAAAAATATGTATATGTGGGAACCAAAAAATCACATACAAGAATGTTTATAGCAGGATTGTCTGTAATCACCCCAGACTGGAAAACTCAAACCCACCAGCAGTAGTTTTGTTAAGAAAAAGTATGATGGAATCATTACAATGGAATGCTACATGAAAATCAAAAGGAGCTAATCACTGCAACATACAATAATACGGATGAGTCAGTAAGGACGTAGGAGTTAAAGCAGCTGGCTTGAGATACATTCACTCACTGTAGCGAGTCACACCCTCAAGGAGAAAAAGAAAAATGACCCAGCCTAACTTCCTTAAAAATATGCTAATAATCTTATCTCCTGGTATATAGACTAATGATATTTCCTACAAGGAAAGTACTTACCTCTTGAGTGTCCTTAACAGAATGTTCCTGCCTAAGGATTATTTAGAATAAATAAATACAGAGTCTATGGATTTATGAGGCACATCTTCATGGGAAATGTCAGGCAAGCTGTTTGTCTTAGTCATCTCAGGCCGCCATACAAAATGCCATGAACCGCGACAACAGAAATGTGTCACTGTCTGGCAAGGTAGATTTCATTCCGTGGCCTCTTCTCTTTCTTGCTTTGTAGTAGCCGCCATCTCACTGTGTTCTCCCATGACCTCTCGTGTGTTCATGGGGACAGAGAGAGCCCTCTGGCGTCCCTTCGTATATGAATGCTTATCCTATTACAGGCTCCACTCTTATGACTTCATTTAACCTTAATTACTTCCTTAGAGGTCTCATTTCCAAATACAGTCACGTTGGAGGTTAGGGTTTCAACATATGAATTGGTAGGGGTGGGCAGGTGGGGACACATTCAGTCCGTAGCACTGACACACAAATGCTCCATAATCTAACCACTCTTCAATATGTAGGGTGGCCCACAAACTTCATTTAAAAATCTTTTTGGTGGGGACTCCTAGGTAGCTCAGTCGGTTAAGCATCCGACTTCGGCTCAGGTCATGATCTCGCGGTTTGTGGGTTCGAGCCCCGCATCGGGCTCTGTGCTGACAGCCAGCTCAGAGCCTGGAGCCTGTTTCAGATTCTGTATCTCCCTCTCTCTCTGACCCTTCCCTGCTCATGCTGTCCCCCCTCTCTCTCAGAAATAAATTTTAAAAAAATAATAAAATTTTAAAAATCTTGTTGGTGGGGCGGCTGGGTGGCTCAGTTGGTTAAGTGTCCAACTCTTGACCTCATAGTTCATGATTTCAAGTCCTGTGTTGGGCTCTAAGCTGGCGGTATGGATGGAGCCTGCTTGGGATCCTCTCCCTTTCTCTCTGCCCCTCCCCTTCTCTCTCTCTTTCTCTCTCTCTCTCTCTCTCTCTCTCTCTCAAAGTAAATAAATAAACTATAAAATAAAATCCTACTGGTTGTTTTTAGCCAGAAAGCATATATCTAATATACAAAGGAAGGCTGGGAGCCACATAGAATATTCCTATAGACTTTCTGCCTTCTATGAGACTTCTGATTATTTTAATCCTTGAAATTATTAGTAAAACTTTATACTGGGTGAGATACCTGACTGGGAGAAGTCTGATTTTAGAATCCATTACCTTGCTTAGCTTAGTCCCTCAAACATAATGTCGAATGAAAGAGGCCAGACCCCCCCCCCCACCAAATTACATATTTTGATGATTCGACTTACATAGAATTCAAAAGCAAGAAGTAATTAGTGTCAACACAAACCAAAGTAATAATTATTTTTGGCTGGTAATAACCAGGAAGAATCAGCAAGGAATCTTTTAAAATGATGGCACTAATCTATTTCTTCGTCCAAGTAGTGGTTACGTCAGTGTGTCTAACTTACAAAAGTTTATCAATTGGTACATTTATCAATTGTGCATTTCTCTGTTTATGTGTTATACTTCAATAAAAAGTTTACTTAACTGATCCAGGATGCTCAATATCATGGCATACCCAAGTAAATTTACCCGACATCAACAAAAGCATTTTAAATGTTTGGGCAGCCAGGAAAAATGATCAAATGATTCAAAGGGAAACAACAAAGACAAATAAATAAGTCTGGGCCTGTGTTTTCCACAGCAGCATTAATGCTGTGGAAACATTACAAAATCCCTCACAATAAAATGTGATTCAAGTATCACATACTCTGACAATAATTCAAGACTACAGACAATTAGTTTGGAACACTAAAATACTCAGAGAGTATTATTCCCAGGGTCCATTCTTTTAAATGGATAGATGTAAATAACTATTTCGTGGAAGAAATGTAAATGGTTAGTACACACAGACTTGCGAGTAATCAGGAATAAGCAAAAGAGAAAATGAAAAAGCATCTTTAGCCATCAAAATGGCAAATATTCTAAAGTGTGATAATATCAAATAGAGGTAAGAAAACAGGGAAATAGACATTTCTATGCACTCTTGGGAACAGTATGGACACTTGAAGCTTTTGAGAGGTGTCTGTCAACCTGGGAATGTAAATATTTCTCAAACAGCAATCCCATCTCCAGGAAGTTACTATATTAAGTAAAGTAAAGAAGTTTTTTGTACACAGCTATATGCATAAAGATATTATATAAAAGCATGTTTATAGCAGCAGATATTGGAAAGAATGCCCTGTAGCAGAAAAATAGGTAAATTAATTTTGGTCTTTTGATATAATGGGAAACTGCAGGATCTAGTACCAATCAAGAAAAGTTCAAGCTTTGGTTTCATTCCAAGAGAAGCCCTCTTCAAGTTTGCTGCCTCTCTCTCTCTCTCTCCTTCTTTACTTTCCTCCCCTTCCCCTACCCTTTGCCCGTCAAACACACTCCAGAAAATTCAATATGCTACTTTTGACTATGGTTGTGTCTCAGCAAAGAATGCGTGACCAAGTTTCAGTCTGGGTCACCCGGAGATAAGGACATTCTTCCTTAAAGAGATGGGTCACCTCAAATCCTCCTGACACTCAGGAGAGAATTCTATATATGGTTACATACCTTCACATCGAAAAGCTTCACATTCCTCAAAGGGAGTAGTAGTTTTCATCTGCGGTAATCCAAGTTCTCCAATTGTAGCTGAGTTCATAGTCATCACTTGTTTCCTCATATTTACATGGAATTCTAAGTCACCCCATACTCCAATACCATCATCAAACCATACAGTTGGTAACTGTGATCTTATTTTGCATTCTGAACTTTTATTCTCTTGAAGGGCAAAAAGGACAGCGGAAACTTTCTCCTCTTTCTTGCAACCCCCTTTCATATACACCCCAACAATACAGTGCCCCTTATAAATCACCACCATAATCGGCCCTTGACCACAGCATCTCTGAAACAAAGCATAGGCAGAGAATTCATGAACACTAGCTTTATAGAGAAGGGTAAACTGTTTTCCTCCAAAATAATTTTGCAGATTCTTTTCTTGCATCCATGTCAACTGAGTTGTCACCGCCATACTTCTCAATCTAGTAGAAAATCAAATATATTTTCCATTAAGTATTGAAAAACAGGCAATACATTCTGACACAAAGCTTGTGTTAGTGCCTCTTATTTACTCTACATTATACATGAAATGAGTCAACCAGGATAAACGGATAGCAAGAAAAATCATAAACTAGTTTTCCATTCTAAAGGATTTTTTTAATTAAAAAAAGACTACAATTTGCAAGTGGCTAGGAAAAGCGCAAAGCAGTAAGTCATTTACCTGTTTGCAGAATCTGGACAAGGACTGAGGCAGAATATAGCTGCTCTGTCTGGACAGCTAAGCAGACACACAATAGGAGCCGAAAATTCTTCAGCAACGTGAAGTCTCCGGCAACTCAGAGAAAAGGAAACTGAAACTTAGTGAGGCCCAGCCCAGTTGGCAGAGAGCCAACTTCCTTCTGCCAGGGAGCAGCCGTTAAATTTTTGCAGGAAAGTCACAGGAAAGTATTAGGAGAGTCAAAGAATCGAAGTCAGAGAAAAGAAAACCTAACGGTTTGCCAGATTTTTAAGTGGATTTTTTTAAAGAAAAATTCGGACACTTTATGTCTGTTGAAATACCAAAAAAAAAAAAAAAAAAAAGATGCTCTTTAGTCTATCTAGTCTATCTAACTCCAGGACACATGCCTCAAAATCATCCACTTCTCTGCCATCAGCTTATTCGCCTCAGGGTCCACCGCTCTCTGTGCTGCTGGTGCTAAGGCAGATTGCAGCCAAGAGTGGCGAATTCTGATAAGCTGTGACAGAGGAGCAACAGTCTCAGAGAACACTGGGGTAGGACACAAGGCTTTTGGAGATGAGCAACTGTTAAGGACAATGTCACCACCATCGGAACACCTTCTGTGGTCAGGTCCCACTGCTCCCTGGCAGGCTCAAAACAGCAAGAGGTTCTCTCTTTTTCCTTTTGCCTCAAGCACCCAGACTGAAGCAGGAGGGGCTCACATTGCTGGGCAAACAGCTGTTTTCCAGGAATGTTAGAGTAATGTTTGGCAAATTGCCTGTATCATCAATGGAATGGAAATAGAAGAGGCTTAGCTCCTTAATAATAAAGCAACAAGATGCGGAGATGGCAGCAGAGATCATCTGGTAGTCTGTACTTGCCTTGTATCCTTTCAGAGAGCCTGTAGAATTGGCATTTATCAAGACACAGTTTCCAACCTGCCCCACACCCCTCTCACATACAAACAATCCAATAATTTAGGTAACCTTTGTCATAAAGTATGTCATTTGAATAAACAAGCACCTTCAAGAAATGAATATTTCCAGCTCTCCCTTCCTTGAGCTTTTGGAAGACACCAACCCCCCGGCAAGAGCTCAGGGGGTGGGATAGGTCCCTTCCAGAGATCCGTGTTGGTGTTGACCACACACCTCCTGTGGGTCCCCCAGTTCTGTTCCTCTTTCATATTTCTACCAACGTTACACCAAATTTCTCCTCCTCCTTACTTCCCAGTGGAAAGTACACAAAGAAGTGCAAAAAAAAAAAAAAAAAAAAAAGAGAGTTGCTAGTTTAAAGGATTGTCTAACCACACCTAATGTCCATTTGATATATTCTAAGTCTTATGATGCAGATAAGTTACTTTTTTTTCTCCTAAACTCTTCAGTCATGAAGATTTGGTAATTCCCTCTCTATATAACTAACATTGAGAACAGAAACACCGACTGATTATCTACCAGGCAGAACAGAGTCTCGTATATTTCGAATACCACACATGTATTTGTCTTCGTATGCTTATTTAAATTATAGTAATCCATTCACATTTGAATTGATTTCACAACACAACAAGTGTTGGAAAACAAGTTTAAATATTTTCCTTGCATTAAAAATTTTTTAATGTTTATTATTATTATTATTTTATACAGAGACAGAGAGTGAGCAGGGGAGGGGCAGAGAGAGGGGGAGATACAGAATCTGAAGCAGGCTCCAGGCTTGAGCCGTCAGCCCGGGGCTCAAACCCACACATCATGAGATCATGACCTGAGCCAAAGTCAGATGCTTAATCAACTAAGCCCCCCAGGGGCCCCTGCGTTTTTTAAATTACTATCAGATAGAGATTATCATAAAATGGGCAAAAGAAATTTTATTGTTTTAAAAACTTTAAAAATTAAAAATTATGACTGGGTGGCGCAGTTGATTAAACATCCAACTCTTGATTTTGGCTCAGGTCATGATCTCATGGTTGAGTTCAAGCCCCATGTCAGGCTCCATGCTGAGCCTCAGGGATTCTCTCTCCCCATCTCCCTCTGCCCCTCCTCTGCTTTCACATGCACATGCCCGCACACACATTCTCTCTCTCTCAAAATAAATAAATAAAAATGATATTTACAACATTGTTTAACATAATTTGTTCTTCCCCATCTCCACTCCCATTCCTACAATCTCTACCTGCAGTTTTGCTTACACTCTCATTCCTGTCCTGGAGTCTAGAACAGCTCAAATCCATCATGTGAGCCGTGTTGGGAAAGGATGTGGGGGACGTGGGGGAATGCAGCTAGATATTAGCCATAATACTAATTCTATTGTCTGGCTGACCCCAGCGGTCTGCGTTTTCTCCAACTTCAGAAAAAGATTTTGCAAAGATTGGCAATTAGTATGCAAGTTTCCATCTTCTTTAAATTGGTGGCAAAAATCAGATCTACTTAAATCTACTGCCCTCCATAAATTGGCCCAGAGATTCATCACCTTTGGGATGGGATTTGGGAACTTCTAAATTCCCACAGCTTTTAGAAACACCAAGAAGACTTCAACCAGCCTTGTTGTCAAAGCAACTTTAGCATTAAATTGAGTTTTGTCACTTCAAGATGATTGCCTATCAGCTGGTCTCTGAAGCATGTGGGGCTTGAGTCTCTCCACTTCACTATATTAGATATGCATTGACTTTAAAAAAATTTTTTAATGTTTCTTTATTTTTGAAATAAAGAGAGACAGAGCATGAGCAGGGAAAGGGCAGAGAGAGAGGGACGCACAGAATCTGAAGCAGATTCCAGGCTTTGAGCTGTCAGCACAGAGCCTGATTCAGGGCTTGAACGCATGAATCGGGAGATCATGACCTGAACTGAAGTCAGACGCTTAGCCGACTGAGCCACTAGGTGTCCCTGGACCTGCATTTTTTATGAAGAAGCAACATGATAATCTTTAAAATTAGCTTTCTAAAAGAGACACAGGCTTACACATCACCTACCATAATGATGCTTGGTGTTTTTTAAGGTGGATAATGGGTAAATTTGTACAGTGCTACAAACCTCTGTCAGAAACAGCCACTTTTACTTTTTTTTTCCAGCTTTACTGAGATATAATTGTATAAACATACTCTTATGTATAGATAACAAACAGGGTTGCTGGAGAGGAGGTGGGTGGGGGAATGGGTTAAGTGAGTGATGGGGATTAAGGAGAGTACTTGTGATGAGCACTGAGTGATGTATGGAAGTGATGCATCACTAAATTCTACTCCTGAAATTAATAGTACACTATATGTTAACTGGAATTAAATAAAAGCTTGAAACTACAAAAAAGTTAACTAAAATTAAAATTAAAAAAATAAAGAAATAAGACTCAAGAAAGTTGATTGTTTTAGACTTCATGTGTTACTCAAGAATCAGTGGACTTCAATACCAAATAAATAAATTAAAATCCCCATGAAAAAGAGATATAATTAATTTTTATAACATTACATAAGTTTAAGGTGTTCAACGTGATGATTTAATAGATGTATATATTATCACTGGTTACTACAATAAGGTTAGTTATAACATCCATTACCTCAGATAGTTACCTTTTTTGTTCAATGTGGTGAACATTGAAGATCTACTCTCCTAGCAACTTTCAAGTATAAAATACTGTGCTGTTAAGTCTCTGAGTGTTTATCTCTCTTGATCTCTCCATTACTCCTCTTCCTCTGAGGGTCTCCATCTCCATCATGAGGTGTCCCACACTACCCCCTTCAAACAGAGTAAAGAAGTTCCATCTTGAATATAATTTTGCATGTAGCAAAACCTTCCTCTGACCGGATTTTTGCTGACTCCACCTGAAGATGGATGAGTTACAGCCCTATAGTCAGTAAGGACAATGGTGGGTCTTCAATCACCTTCAATCTTCTACCCAATAATGGCTGTGGCTCGTTTTTATCATGGATTACATAGAGTCAAACACATATTACTTGTTGGGCCCCTTGCTCCCCTTTCATAACTATCCCGGCTGGAACTCTACTTTTGTTTCCCAGCATCTACTTCTGGCTCTACTCCTCAGTATCTGTGACCTTTCTATTCCTCCATCTCTTTTAACGACCCCATCCATCTCTTGCACTGAATCACAGCTCCTGAACATTCATTTGAGCACCACTTTACCTGTAGCTTTGCTTTAAGAAATTGTTGTTTTTCTATAACTATCCCTAAAGAATTCTTGGCCTCATAATATCCAGGACTTTCCAAACACAATAATTCTGAATAAAAGTATATTCGACTACTTTAATGGAGGTAACTATTGAACCAAAGCATATTCATGTGAAAAGTACTAAGAAATTTGGAGAAGAGAGTTAGAGTTTTATGGGAGAAAAATCTATCTTCTGAAATTCTTTTTTGGTTTATTACTAGTCCTAACTTCTACAGTTACTTACTCAGAGGAATTTAGAATCATTTGGGAGTTCCTGTATAAGACAACCTTCTTATTGCCTTGCACTAGTAAGTAACCTCATTTGATCACTCTACTTGGGAAACATGGCTAGGACGGTTTGGAATTCAATTAATGAAAATGGGGCATGAGTGCACTAAAGGAAGAAATTTTATTTTTTTCACAGAAATAACATGTAAGTCCTTAAGAAATATTTGCTTTTTTAATTCGCTTCAATTCATATCTTCATCCAGAGATAAGTGAAACATTCTCCCTCCTTTATGTCCATTTCTTGTCTCCGGAATTTCATTCTTTTCCAGTCTTCCCCTCTGTAAGGAGAAAAATGTAAAGTACGTGTTATCACTCTGGGGAAGCTGGGAGGGATGCATCTTGGCAAGCACGCCTGCTCCGTCAGGCAACGTGCTAAGCTCTGTGAATACAAATGTGCGTAAAATCCAAAGCCTACTTCTTGAAGAACCACAATCTATTCAGGGAATTGGATATCCATGTAATCATGCTTAAATTATTATTCAATGTATTAGTACTCACATAGAGTTTTAAATAAAGAGCTAAAGACAAATACATAAGGAGATAGTCAATTTTGCTGGGGAGGCTTAGAAAGGTGTCACAGCCATTGAAACCATAAGTGGTGCAGGAATACCGAGGGTGGTCTACAGTAGGGCATATCTTGGCCCACCTGTGCTCAGGGCTGGCCTTTCAGCTTGAGGTACAACTGATCCTAGAAGAAACTATCAGTTAGATACTGTCAGGGACTGAAGGCGAAACATAAATGAAAGCAGAAGTCATAAGGAGGCTGTCAGCAGAGGTGGACTCTAATCGGGGCATGCCAAGCCAGGTTTGGACCAAGTGTCAGAATCAAGGCAACTGATGTCACATGCAGAGCTGAACCTCCCTACAATTTTACCTGAACACAAAAGAAAAAGGAATAGAAACAAAGCACATATCCTAACATGGTTGTCAGGTCTAGAGCAAGCAGGTGGGCACCAGCCATCCTGTAAGATAGAACTCAGGGATTTTCAAAAAGTACCCATGCTTTATGACAGGAGTGGAAAGGGGGCCAGATTACCTGTTTCCTCAAGAGGCATATCCTCTAACATGTCATTCACTAGGCGTAACATCTGCCTCAGCACAAAGAGGATCAGAGTGTCCTTAAAAGGGTCCAGCTCCAACTCTGATGTGTAATTTTCAACCATAAAGATATTATAAGTAGGAATATCTAGCAGTTTGCTGACTTGTATTATCTGTGGAAAAATTAATAAGCATAACTCATATCTGAAAATGGACTAAATTCAAATATGATTCAAGGAAGAAACTGAAAAATCAATAGCTTGATAAATTCTCTTCTGAATATAATTATAACACAGATAATTATTGTTATAAAGTAGGACTAGACTTGAATTAACCAGGCAATTGATCCAGTTCTTCATTTACCTGTGCATTTGTACTGTGAACAGCCCCCCACACACACACACACATACAATATAACACTATTACAATAATGTCTGGTTAGAAATATATTCTTTACCTGGCTTTGGGAAGTCATAGATTTATCCATGTTTGAAAAGTTTTCTTGAAGAGTTTTACTGCAATTACCCATTTTAGTAAGCAACACCACACATGCTATACCTATATCAAAGAGATAAATCAGTTATATTGTATCATAAACAGCTATGGGTCAACAAGGCCATTCAGTATGTGTGAAAGCAGCTCTCTGTGGGGTGAAGATCTAGAGAATGAAATAACCCCAGTAAATGTCAGTATGGAACCAGAAGTTCTTCTAATAGGAGATAAGATCTTTTCTTCCAACATGAGATATAATTTCTAAATGCAACTGAATTCACACTACGTTGCAATCATCTATTCCAAATAGTGTGTTTTAAAGTGATCAGGTTTGGCGGGGGCAGTGGGGCGGGGGGGGGGGCGGGGGGGTTGGTGGTTGCTGGATATTGAAGAGTAAAAAAGACCCAGAAAGTGAAGAAGGTTGTGTGAGAGAATTTGTAAAAACAAAGCACACTGATTTCACAGTTCTACTAAGGACTTCTTGCCCTCTCCCAATTGGCTGCCAACTGAATCAAAGGCCTCTTTAGGTAAACCTGCTTCCCCAGGAAAAAAAATATTATAAAACTAAAATTTCCAAATGCCATTCATGGATGTCCCTGAGATTTCTTTACAAGAGCTTTGAGTATTTCCCCTTATGGGAATCATATGTTTGTGATTTCTATTACTAAATGATTGCTTTTGCCATCTTCCCTCATTCAAGTCCCAGAGCAATAAGTAGCAAAGTTAGCCAATCAAAACCTGGCTTGTGTTGATAGCAGTTCTCAATTGACACATATTAATTTCTTTTCAACTTCTGGTAAAATGCAATTCTCCTCTTTCAAAATTAATGCAATGTCTTCTTCGAGGCTCTAAGTCAGCCCAGTTAGATGCATAAAGCATTGTCACCCAGCCTGTCCTTGAAAAAATACTTTCAAACCTTAGCACTTCTGTAACTCACTCTTATCTATAACCCACCATAATTTTAGAGCTGTTAAATACTTACATAGACAGTCCCTGATGGGACTAGACTAACGGTTTAGACTTAAGAATTTTTTACTTTATGACGGTGCAAAAGCGTTATAATTTTGGTAGAAACCACACTTCAAATTTTGAATTTTGATCTTTTCTGAGGCTAGCAATATGCAGCATAATATCTCTTGGGGTGCTGAGTGGTGGCAGTGAGCTGCAGTCAGTCAGCCACGTGATCACGGGGTAAACAACTTACATACTTACATTCACTCTGTACCCATGAACCATTCTGTTTCTCATTTTTACAACAGCCTTCAATAAGTTATATGAGATATTCAACACTTTATTATAAAATAGGCTTTGTATTAAATGCTTTTTCCCAGCTGCAGGCCAATGTAAGTGTTCCCAGCATGTGTAAGGCAGGCTAGGCTAAGCGACGATGTTTGGTAGGTTCGGTCTATTAAGTGCGTTTTCAAGTTACAGTGAGTTTATTGGGACATAAACCCATTGTAAACTCAAGTCGATCAGTATATGCTCATATATTTACATTGAATACATCTAATGTCTAGATTCAGAACTTATTTCCATTCTACAGGAGGCTAAAGTTCAGTGCACTTAACAACTTTCTTAAGATGAAAATTATGACTATTAAAAAAAACCTAGATTTACTTTGTCACTAAAACAATCCTCTATACATAAAACTGCACAGCTTTTTTCAAAAAATTATATTAAGTAGTCTTTCTATTGCTATACTAAACAAGGGGCTCTAGAGTATAAATGCCCAAACAATTCTCTTTTTTAAATTGTTTTTTTAGGTTTTGACCACCTGCATCCATCACCTATTTCTCCCATACCCAAATCCCCACCTCTCACAACCATTAATCTGTTCTCTGTATCCATGAGCATGTTGGGTTTTTTTTTTTTTCTTTTAACCATTCCACATATAGGAGAGATCATATAGTGTCTTTCTCTGTCAGACTTATTACACTTAGCATAATGCCCTTGAAGTCCACCGAAGCTGTTGCAAATGGCAAGACTTCGTTCTTTTTTATGGCTGAATAATATTCTTCTTCTACTTTCTGGACTAATATCCTCTTGTACTTTTTGGAATAGTTTGAGAAGGATTGCTATTAATTCTTCTTTGAATGTTCAGTGGAATCCACCGGTGATGCCATCTGTTTCTAGACTTTTGTTTGTTGGGAGTTTTTTGATTACTGATTCAATATCCTTACTCATGTTTGGTCTGTCCAGATTTTTTATTTCTTTGTGATTCAGTCTTGGTAGGTTGTATATTTCTAGGAATATATCCATTTCTTCTATTTTTTTTGTGTATAATTGTTCACCGTAGTCCCTTATGATAATTTGTATTACTGTGGTACCAGTAGTAATATCTCATTTCTGGTTTTATTTTTGTCTTTTTCTTATTCTTTTTTTTTTCCCCCTGAAATTCAGTGAAAGGTCTCCCAGTTCTGGACCAAATGGAGCCAATACACTTTTCCCTATTCTTCCTTCTAAATACGACTAGAAACACTAGACATTACCTATAAATCAAACAAAAACATTGAAAGGTAGAGAAAATAGTGGAATAACAGAAACTCACTAAGGACCTCAGGATCCAGGGAACAAAAGGATGGTTGAGTTCTCTAGGTTTCCTTTTTTACTTCATAGAGCCTATATTGGCTGCCAGAGAAGCTCACAACTAAGGAATCCCAATTGGATCTGGTGACAAGAAAGGAACAAAGCAGAAAAAGAAGGGAAGGGAAGGGAAGGGAAGGGAAGGGAAGGGAAGGGAAAGGGAGAAGTCCTTCCCTTCAAAAAACTAGAAAAAAGAAAGCTAATTATATCCAAATCAAGAAGATGAAAGAATCCCTAAAGAGCAGATATCAAAGAACAAATTGAAAACAGAAAAACAATTTAAAATATAAATGAAACAAAAACATGGTTCCTTGAAAAGGAAAATAAAATTGACAAACCTTTAGAAATAGTGACAAAGAAAAACAAAAGACAAGACATAAATCACCAATATCAGGAAGGACACAGGGATATCCCTACAGACCTCACACGTGTAAAATGAATAATAAGGAAATGCTATGAACAATTCTATACACTTAAAATTGACAACTTAGATGGAATAAAATGAACTAAAATCTACTATCTATCACAACTCACCTAATATGAAATAGATTATTTTAATAGCTTGGTAACTATTTTAAAATTAAATTTTTTGTTTTAAAAACCCCTGAAAAAGAAATCTCCAGACTCAGATGATTTTAATGGAAGACTCTACCAAACATTTAAAGAGAAATTAACACCAATTCTTCACAATTCCTTCAAGAAAGTGGAAGAGGAACACTTCCCAACTCATTTTATGAAGCCAGTGTTACCCTGACACCAAAACCTGAAAGCAGCTGGAAAAAAAAAAAACCCACAAATCAATATCCTTCATAAATATAGATACAAAAATTTTTAATAAAATATTATTATAGGATTCAGCAATATATGAAAATAATTATGTATCATGATTACATGGGATTTATTCTAAGGAAACAAGCCTGGCTCAAGATTCAAAAATCAGTGTAATCCATCATACTAAGAAGATAAACAGGAAAAAATTTTCATGACTCTATCCATCTGTGGATAAAAATTATTTGATAAAATTCAACATCCATTCCGGATAAGAAAAAGAAAAAAAAACTCAGAGAATTAGGAATAAAGAACCTCCTCAAATTGACAAAGAACATCTGTAAAAAAACCAAACAAACTTATAGCTAACATCATAATGGTGAAACACTGAATACTTTCCCTCTAAGATCAAAAACACCACAAGGGTACATGTTCTCACAACTTTTATTCAACACAGTACTGTAACTGCTAGCCAGAAAAATATGACAAGAAAAGGAAATAAAAGGCATACAGATTAAAAAGAAAGAGAAAATTATTCCTGTTTAAGATGGTATGAAAATCCCAAGGGATAAATATAACTTTCCTAGTACTAACAGGTGTGTTCAGCAAGGTCACAAGAAACAAGACTGACATAGAAAATTCTATTATACATTGATATACAGGAATAAGCATCTGGAAACCAAAATTCAAACATGATACCACTTTTTTAAAAAATTAAATAGTTAGGTATAGAGTTAATAAAACATGTACAGGACTTGAATGTTAAAAACTGTGGAGAACTGGTGAAAGAAATCAAAGATCTCAATAAATGAAGAAACATATTATGTTCATGGGTTGGAAGACTCAACAGATAAAGATGTCAATCCTCCCAAAATTTATATATGGGTTAATGTAATTGCTATCAGTACCCAATAAAGACTTTTTGTATAAATAGACAAGTTAATTCTAAAATTCTCATGGAGGACAAGCTGAGGACGGCAGCATAGGAAGACCCTGACTTCATCTCCGCAAACAGACACAACAAATTTACAGCTCCGTATGGAATCACTGTCCTCTGAAAAGAACCTAAGAACTAGATGAATAGCATATCTACAACAAAAAAACAAAACCATTGCATCCAGAAGGGTATGAAAGGCAGAGACACTGCCCAGGATCCCACTCCATAGGCAGTCACCCCACAATCAGGGGGCATCCAAAAAAATATGAACTTTTTCTCAAGGAATGAAAGGATTGTGCCCCACATCAGGCACCCAAAGCTGGGGGCTGACACCAGAAAGGCAAAATGTCTGGTCTTGAAAACCAGTGGGGATTATGACCACGAGAATCACAGAACTATAAAGAACACAGATCCCAATCCTAAAGGGCTCCCACACAAATCCAATTGCCCTGACATCCAGTGAGAAAGCAACAGACTGAAAAGCACCCACACCATAAATGAGGGCAATCCACTTAACTACTTTTAAATCTCTACATGTGATAAAACGACACAGAGCTACACACACACATAAGAGTGGCAATTTTCTGGTTTTGATCTTTCTGGTCAGGTCAGATAATGTGAGGTGACTTGCCTATCGAGCCACTGGAAAATCACATGTGACATAAAATATGTAAATGATCTCTGTCTACTAGTGCTAGTAACCAGCCTAGGAGTCAGGAAATTTAGTAAAGGGTCCATAGGACCTTTCTGTACTTTCTTTGCAATTTCCTGTGAATCCATAATTATTTCAAAATAAAATTTTTAAAAATTTTGTAATGTTCTTATTTATTTTTGAGAGACAGAGACAGAGCATGAGTGGGGGAGGGGCAGAGAGAGACACACACATAGAATTTTAAGCAAGCTCCAGGCTCCGAGCTGTCAGCACAGAGCCCAACTTGGGGCTTGAGCACATGATCTGCGAGATCATGACCTGAGCCGAAGTCGAACACTTAACCAACTGAGCCACCCAAGTGCCCCTCAAAATAAAGGTTTTTTTAATAAGGACAATGAAACTCACCACACTTTAAGACCTCTTTTTGAATTTGTTTGAACTTTGCCACCATCTTAGAGGAGAGATTGCTGATAGACTTGATATCTAAGACATAAGCCACACAGTGAATCCTGTCCTTCAATGATGGAGAGGTGATGAAGGCAGGATCATAGGGTGTAATTGGTTTATGAGGGCTAAACTGTAATGGAAACATAAGGTAACATTTAGAGAGTCTTTGCTGAATTTGTTAAAACACATTCATGCCTGAAATGCAACTACCACTAACCTCCAACCCAAAACTTTCCTCCCACTTGCCACTCTTTCCCCAGGCTAATTAGTATCCCGCTTCCATATGTTCTCTCTACTATGACTGTAATGTTATTATGTTTCTTACAGAAAATTGCTTTGGCAAAAATTATAATTATACTTTACGTTATCCATAGTGGAACTATTTCAGAAAAATACAAACAACGTTTGTTTAAAAAGTTAACTTCAGAGGCTCCCGGGTGACTCGGTCGAGAGTTCCACTCTTGATTTCAGCTCGGGTCATAATCTCATGGTTCTTTAGATCAAGCCCCACAGTCGGCTCCACACTGACAGCATAGAGCCTACTAGGGATTCTCTCTCTTTCCTCTCTCTGCTCCTCCCCCACTCTTGTGTGCACATGCACCCATGCACACATGCTCTCTCTCAAAAAAATGCTAATTTCAAATCCCAGTCTCTGAAAAAAAAAAGAATATTGACATTGGTTACACACTATTTAAGACTTTAAACATTTCGCATACTTAAATGGACTAATGGACAGAGGAGAAAAAAGGAGAGGAAAAACTGCCATTTAAAATAAAATGCTATAGGGAACACCTGGGTGGCTCAGTCCATTAAGCCTCAGACTTCAGCTCAGGTCATGATCTTGTGAGTTAGTCAGTTCGAACTCCCATATCAGGCTTTCTGCTATCAGCACTGAACCTACTTCAGATCATCTGTCTCCTTCTCTCTGCCCCTCTGCTACTCACACACTCTCTCTCAAAAATAAACAAACATTTAAAATAGATTAAAATAAAATAAAATAAAATAAAATAAAATAAAATAAAATGCTATAGGAGCACTTGGTTGGCCCAGTCAGAAAAGCATGCAACTCGATCTCAGGAGCGTGAGTTTGAGCCCCACATGGGGTGTAGAGATTACTAAAAAAATAAATTAAAACATAAAAAATTAAATACTACAATTTCTTTAATTTTACAGAAGAAAAAGAAACTAAAGTGAAAGAGGAAAAAACCCAAGTTCCAAGTTAACATCTTCATACCACAAAACAATAATTTTTCTAGGATTAAGAAAATGGATTTAAAAATACAATACAGGGCTAGGTTCATTATTTTTTAACTATATGTTTCAATGCTGAACTGAACTGACTGCCTCTCTGTTGTGAAAAATGAAGGTGTTAGTAGGCTCAGGGGGTCTCCTATCTGCTCTGTTCCACCTCCATATTTCTCATGTCTCCTTAAATTGTGAGGATAAGGATTATGTTCTTAGTCAACTATGTGTTTCAACTAGCATAGTATCTGGCACAAATTAGGTTTTTAATAATGATTTTTTAAAATATATGAGTACATAGTTAAGGTTTCCAATCAAGCACAACTGAGAGGCAACAAAGTCACTGTTTAGAAATTGAGGCTGATTGTATGCCCCAATGCCCAATGCCTAAAAGAAAGGTAATAATATTGGTTGACTTTTCGAGAATTTAAGGTACATCAACTCATTTACCTTCTCAGGCACTCTACAAAATGGGCATTATTAATACCTACATATCAACATAAAAAAAGTAAGACTTTCAGAGATAAATATGTAACTTCTTTATGAGTACACATCTACTTGTTGGCAAAGCCAATTTTTGGATACAGGCATTTAGGTAGCATTTTAGTAGTGAAACATAAATACTTATTGTATAACAATATCACACTTAGACAAAAATTGGTTAATTGTTACAATATTTTGTCTAAGTGACCAAAAAAGTGCATGAGGTTAATTACTACTTTTCTACTTATTTTACATTATTGTAAAGAGTGATATAAGAACAATCATCTCCTGAACTTTTTTGGGATCTGTATGAGTAAAATACTGCTGTTGGCTGTATTTCTTTTTTTTCTTTTTTTTTAGATTACCTTTTTTTTTTTTTTTTTTTTTGAGTAACCTCCACACCCAGTGTGGGGCTCACACTCATGACCCTGAGTTCAAGAGTCTTAAGTTCTACCAACTGACCCAGCCACGCACCCCAGCCTATATTTCTTAATGTCAGAGAAAATAAGTTCCTCTACTTTACTTCTATGAATATTTATTCATTTAAAAAAGAGAAGTGTTGGTTGATGTTGAAAACACCTTACAACAGTTGAAATTGTCTTATGGGGTAAAAAACATTTAACAAAGAGCATTGATGGAAATGATTTAAAAGGTTTTCAAGATTCGAGAATTCTTACCTCGTATCTGTCTGGCACACAGCCTTTTAAGATGTGGGGTATGTCATCCATACACAATCCTACTCCCTCTTTCTCATGTAGCCCCATGGAGTCACACAACCTAAATGCCAGAGATTTGCCATCGTTCCCATCTTTAACAGAATATGTTCTGTACTATAAAACAAAGTATATTAAATGTAAAAATTCATTCTTCAACTAGTATTCAAGACATGACAATAGGATGAGCATAGGGTGATTAATATTTTAAAACTGTTGTCCTCAAACATTTTGGTCTCAGGATCACCTGATACTCTTAAAAATTATTGAGAATCTCGAAGATATTTTTACTTATGTAGATTATATCTGCTGATATTTAACATACTAGAAACTGAAATGGAAATAATTTTAAATATTTCTTAAATCATTTTAAAATGCAATTGTGAATTTATTGCATGTTAACCCAAATAAAATTTTACCCAAAAAATTACTTTCCAAAAAATATTAAAACCAGCAGGATCGATTTAGTTTTTACAATGCTCTTTGGTATCTGAATTATAGAAGATAGCAGGATTCTCATATCTGCCTCGGAATTCAGTCTGTTGTGCTATATCATTTTGATTGAAGTATATGAAGAAAATCTAGTCTCCCGTGTATATATGTAAAGAAAAAGGAGAGAGCATTTAACAGCTTTCAGAAAATTGTGGATATTCCTCATTAATAATGCATCAAAGCTCAACAAGTGATAATTTCTCAAAGGTTAGCTACAGTGTGGAATCTGTGATATTTTCACACTCAGTTACATTAAATTCAGTGATCTATCTTACACTTTGAATATATTTTGTATCCATGCATGACTTAGCAACTAGATGCATTTGGTCATTTGAAAATATTGGTTCCCTTCCTTCCCCAGGTCTTTCAGCCTAGGCACATTTCAGCCGACGATATTAAAACATCATGTTTGTTACTAGTGCCGCTAATCTTATCAGATAAGTCTTTAAGTCTTGGGAAGTTATGAAGCTCAAAGTGGTGGATACAAGCTTCCCAAAGTTCTATTTTTTTCTTTAAAACTCAAATGTTATCATTGGCAACAAATGTTGATTGGTTGTTTTTCTTGCCATGTTATGCCCACTTAGTGCATTTTCCATGAATTTCTACTGAATAGCTAAGTATAAATAAGCAAGTCTGCCAAATGTCTTCTTAATTAAAAATGATGTTACATGAGAAGAGTTCAGCTCACAACTCCAATGCACCACTGTCTTTGCTCAATAGCCGCCACATTTTGGGATGCCTTAGAAACCCTTTATCCATACTTCCCATTGCATCACACAAAATACTAAAATAATGTGTTCTCAAAAGCTGAGCTTAAATAAAATCCATAGTTGTTACTTACTCATCAATTACATTCTTTTTTTTTTTAATGTTTTTAATTTATTTCTGAGAGAGAGACAGTGTGAGCAGGGGAGGGTCAGAGAGAGAGGGAGATACAGAATCTGAAGCAGGCTCCAGGCTCTGAGCTAGCTGTCAGCACAGAGCCCGACATGGGGCTCAAACCCACGAACCGTGAGATCATGACCTGAGCCGAAGTCAGACACTTAACCGGCTGAGCCACCCAGGTGCCCCTCATGATCATTCCTTATATAATGGTTTTGTAAAATGGAAAAGTGTTGTAATACATAATTTTCATTATTTTATTACAAAAAAAGAGAAAAGAATTTCAATCCAGGTAAAACCATGTGGGACATAAGCAAAAACACATTTCTAAAATAATGGACTTACACAAAACTTTTAAAATTTTACTGCTATATTCTACAAACTTAAGCATTCTTCTCAGTTATATGAAGAATGTGTGTGTAAACATGGAAAGCCTCTCAGTAAAAAACAACTCAATGGAGACCATTCTGATTCAGCTCGTACTTCTGTTTTACATTTGATTTAGCATTTAATTGCTTGTAGGTAAGAAGGAGGTTAACATTCCTAGAGAAAATGGCAAAGAAATAAACAAATCTAATAATTGTAATTGATAAAACAAAATCCTCAGGCAATACTTAAGTAACTTACCTGTTCAGTAATGCTGGTGTCATCAGACCCCACTATGGCTTGGCGAGTCAGACGGCCTTGGAAAGCAGACCTCACTGAATTAATAAAACTGGACTTTCCAGATCCAACTGGCCCCAGCAAGAGAATACGAATTTCTGAAATCAAGTCTACATTGGGCTTGAAGGCTCTGAGTTCCTCCAGAAGTTGATTCATGTGCCTGTGAAATAACATGCAGAACTTGAAACAGCCAAACCCCCATAAAATCACTGTGATTCTCCTGGACCTTTTTTCCGTCCCTTTACAAGTATGTTTTAATTACATACATATTATCTGGGAATTAACGTGTATCATCTGACGCGAAAAGGTCTACGGTTATGCATGTTGTGCTTGAAGAAAATGCATATATCTATATCTTAATAAAGCTAAACATTCATCAGCAACCAAATCACTGCTAAACTATTAGCCTTGATGACACAAGTCTGAGAAATATCAACAACACTGAAGATGTGTGTTATTTCAGTAATAATATTATATTAAGGAGAAATAAAATATATGCAACACAGATATTTATCTATAAATTGGGGAAAGGGGGGTTGTTTTTAAAACTTACTGAAGTTCTCCCAAAACTGTGTTCTTAAGTAAAAGCTTCAAAGGAAATATCTGAAATAGCCATCTAGACCTTTCTGTCTGGAAAACTTTAAATCTAGCTAGTTCAAAGTGAAAAATAAAGTCAAATTGTTGTCAGGTAGATTTTTAAAGGTTCACGGTTGGTAGTGATTCTATTTTTGCTGTTGTTGTAAATTGCGTCAAAGATATTATTTAAATAATATTGTAATTTATTTTTATCACCCAACTTATATTTTTATTTTACTCTTTCATTTCCAGTGTCATTTATAGAAATGTTCTAAATAAAGTGAGTAAAAGATAGTCCGAGAACCTAACTTACTTCGCAGCTCTTGTCACCTTGCTCACATAGGTGGTGTCATCCTTAATTCCTGTAGGAAACAAACATAGCATAATAAGTTTTTTAACCTGTCTGGCTAAATATGCTCAAGTCAACCTTTTAAATGGGGCAGCGAGTCTGCTTATATAAACCAGGGCTGAGCTGTCCAGTTAGGACTTAGGGTTGGCAACCTAATGAGCAGAGAAGAGAAAATTATTCCCTGCCTTCCATGGAGGATAATTAACTCACTCTGGAAACTCTCAGGTACGTATACCTGGAGGTCCTAGAGTTGACCCAAAAGGGACCATGTGTCAGAATAAACCCCGGCTCTCGCTTGCTCTCCATCTTCATCTCTCTATCTCTCCACTTACACTTCTCAACCTCCTTTCCTCAAAGCTGCCTATACCTTCTGGGTGATACCTCATAAAATTTATGCTTCCCAGGTTATATTTTGAAGTTTATGAAAGAGAAATTTGATGGCATGAAATAGGACTGTTCCTCTCATTTTTCCTTGTTCTTGTAGCTCAATGATGACCAACAAATACAAAGAGAGACTAGAAACACAGTGTAGGATTATCTCATTTAACCTACCTTCGACTCGAAAAACTTCACATTCACAAAATGTGTTGCCAGAGTAGAACATTTTTAATTTGGAGCTTAGTGAACGATGCATAGAAAGTTTGGCTTTGCTTGGATCTATACTGAGCATCTTTTGATCAAAGGAACAAAATATCAGTTCCCCAGAAATAATTTTCACTTCTGCCTCTAGAACTACAGTTGTCATTTCTGTAGCTTTATGTCTTTGAAATGAAAAACAGAAGGAGGATATTGGCTCGCTCAACTCTGTGGCTATAGGATAATGCCCAGGTATAAAGACCCCAATAATAATATTAGAAAAGTAAACTACTGTTATAGTAGATCCCTGAAGCTGGCAATTATTAAACAAATGTTCGTGGACACTAGACTTAGAAAGAAGTCTCAAGGAAACGTTTCCAAGCAGCTTTTGTAGGCTTCTCTCCTCATTCCATGACAATCTGGTTGTTACTGCCATGGTTCTGTACCTGATAGAAAAACAATAATAGGTTGAAAAGCTAGTTAGTATATCATCGTGGTTTAAAGCACAGATTTCTGCTTCTTTTAGTTCCAGCATGTTATTTTTTTTCTCTGACCCAATTAAAACACGTTGGTTGTATTACAAGGAAAAAAAAAAACATAGAGATAGAACATTCGTAGGTGGATATGAGAAAAACTCAGATAATTTAGAAATAAAAAGTATCATTAAAATATCATTGAATTTTTTTTTAGTTTATTGTCAAGTTGGTTTCCATATCACACCCAGTGTTCATCCCAACGAGTGCCCTCCTTCATGCCCATCAGCCTCCTTCCCCTCATTGAATTTTTTTAAGTCAGTAGTCAAGTGGAAAACTATATAAAGAATAAAGTAAAATAAATAAATTAGAACATGAGTCCACAAACATTTCTTAATGACAGCAAACTTTTTAGCCTTTGTGGGACATATACTCTGCCATAGTTAACTGAACATTGCCAGTGTAATGCAAAAACATAGATGAAATATAAACAAATGGGCATGATTATATTCCAATACAGCTTTTTTTTTTTTTTTTTTTTTTTACAAAAACAGGTGGGTGGCACACAGGCCATGGTTTGCCAACACATGAATTAGGAGATTGAGAAAAATTAGAACACAGGATAAACTGTGAATATATATATATTTGAAGGCATTGAAGAGATAACAAAGAAGTGAAGACTATGCCATTGACTAAGATTTGGAAAAGGAGTGAAGACAGTGAGGGAAGTTAGGCATTTGGGAGCATATTTCCCTGAGGAGCATCTGTTAACTTTAGAAGAGGTGCCTGAGATGCTGAGAAGTGAGGCAAAACTTTTTGTTAGACTCACAGAGAGAGGGGAATATAGTACAAGAAAGAGGGTGCCTTGGCAACCTTCCTCCCAAGCTATGGGCAAGCATTCTGAAGAGCTACAGAGGAAAATAAAGGCTGTACTAAAACTGGAGAAATTTAATTCCATCTCCTAGTAATTTCAGCCTATGAGTAGATTCACATACATGAAGCTTGCCTGTGCCTCTAGTTGTAAGGCAGTGGGAAAAACAAATCTTGGCTGGATGAAGAGAATATTCTTCTAGCTTCAAATTATCCCCACAATGCTTTTTATATTTAGTGAGTCACATTCATCAGAAACACAAGGGAGGAAATGAAACAACATGAAAGAAAACCAAGAGAAAAAGCAAAACACAGAAATAAACCCATGCTCTTTATTTATTTGCTTTGTTTTTCTAGATTCCACACATAAGAGAAATCAGATGGCACTTTTCTGACTTATTTCATGTTCCATAATACCCTCTAGACCTATCCATGCTACTGCAAATGGCTTATCTCCTCCTTTTTTATGGCTGAGTAATATTCCAGTGTGTGTTTTTGTGTGTGTGTGTGTGTGTGTGTGTGTATGTGTGTGTGTACCTCACATCTAATGGAAAAACTGTCTCTAATGGAAAAGTAGTCAAAGTATATGAAGACATTTACAGATGAGGTAATTCGAATGAACTATAAACATATGGAAAAAATGTTCAACTGTTCTAGAAACAGAGAGCTGTGAATTAAACAATAATGAGATAGCATTTTACATCAAACAAGAGTAAAGCAATACCAAATTGACCCGGCTATGGAGATTCGGTCATAGTCACAGTGTTTTGATGGACATACGTCATTTTGAGGAACACGGCAGCTTTGTTTAGCATGAATTAGAAGACTGGATGTACAAATTTTGGCATATTCACACAACGAAATACTAACGAGCACTGAAGTGACTGAACTAGGCCTATTTGTATCAACATTGATGAAGCTCAAAAGATTAAGCAAGTTGAGAATGATACACTTAGTGTGATATCATTTATATAAACTGTTAACACAAAGCAATACCAGAGATGTTTGGATACATAGATATATATGGCAAAGGCATATAAACAAGCACAACAGTAATTATTCCAAAGTCTGGATATTTCCCTCTGGCAAAGAAGGGAAGAGAAAAGAGTATAGGAGAGATTCCCAGATAACTTCAACATTATCTGTTATGCTTTTGTTTTGTTTTGTTTTGTTTTGTTTTGTTTTTTCAGGGGAAAAACCTACTCTAATTAGATAAAGCAAGTCATCTTAAAAATCTGATAGGATTGTGTAAGATTACACCAGAGTTCATTTACTCTCTAGCATTCCCTGCATTTAAAATTTTCATTAAAAAACACAACAAATGAAAGAGAAGAGTATGATCATTGGCAGCAATTTTACTCCAAAATTCTTTTTCAAAGAAAGGAAAACAGGCAATTTCCTTTACACACAGCTAAGGAAGCATTGGATGGCAAAAAATCACTTACCTGTTTCTAAGAGTTGGATGGAGCTTACATGCAGTTTGATAGACCCAGCAGCCACAGTTTGGAGACAGACGGTTCTGCTGAGATCTGGGGCGTCTGTGTTTGAAAGAAAGGAAAATGAAACTCAGCAGCAACCAATCAGCTGCCAGCACGCAGACCATTAGGTTTCTTTTTCCTGGTTAGAGAGGAAGAGACAGAGAAAAAGAAAAAGGAACTAAGATTTCTGCCAAACCCATGAGAAAGATCTTTGGTCCCCTCTGCAGCCCACATGTAGGCACACATGGAAAGACAGGTAATAAAAACTGCGAGAAAACTCAGAGCCAACGTTTCTGCACATTTTACTACGTGATTGCCACTGTACAACTGCTTGCATTTCCTAGTTTCCTCTCAGAAAAATCTCACCCGGTAAATGCTCTTGGGATCTTTATTTCTCAAAGTATGCAAATGAAACTTAAGTGTGCAAATGAATTCGGCTGAAAGAGTGGTAGCACTGGCTGGTATTTAAAACCAGCTTTCTGCGCTGGAACACACAGATGAAAATTTGACTCTTCCCAAATTCATTTATAAGGCACTGCACAGCTTCTTTCCCATTTACACATTCAGTCATTCAACAAGGGCTTAGACCCTGGGGAAGGATAATGCTGAGTAAGATAAAAATAGTGCCTCGAATGCTGTGCACTCAGGGAGATGGTCAGGTACATAGATGGGTATATTAGGTGTTCCAAAGGCTGCAAGAGGAGTAAACACAAGATGCACAGGGGACCGGGGTGACAGTGACCTCACCCAGTCTTAGGGCACTCGTAACAACTGGCAGAGCAAAGTTTAGATTGAGACATGAAGTTGTAGGTTGGGAAGAAACTTCCTTCTTTCCTCCAAGGTTTTTCCAGCTGGTTTAGGAATTAAACTGACATGAGACAGATCAACAGAAGGAAAAAAAACGAAGCTTTATTATGTATGCCTGGAGGCCCAATAATAAAACTGAGACCCAAAGGAATGACAAAACAGGCAGTTTTTCTACAATTTAGACAATAAGACAATCAATCTGTGAGAACGTGACAGGATAAAGAAAACAGATGTTTGGGACCTTCAATTTTTCTAAGTGGAATATGGGCTGAGGTAGCTATAGATTGGTAAACACACACATGCATCCCAAGGTTTATTTCCACTGCTTTCTTGGCTTTAAAGTCCTTATCTTTCATGATAAGGATGTCTTTTTACTTCTTAGTACAGGGAGGATATTTTTTCATATGAGAGGTTTATTTTCTGCTTTCAGGGGGTCAGAGAAGGGTCTAAGTGTCCTTCCACCGGCTATTTCCCAAGTAGCGTCAGTTCAAAATAATCAGTATGTCATTGTGGGGGCAGGCCCGGTGGGGGCTAGCCGGTTGATTAGGATTTTAAAAGTCTTTATTTAAGTTGGATTTTAGCACGAAGACAATACAAAGACTCAAAGCAAAGGAATGGCACGATCAAAACTAAATGTCATAGAAAGAAGGGTTAGTTTTTTTCTTGATTTGTAACAAATAGTCACAAACCAAGAGGCTGTAAAAAGACTCACATTCATTATGGCACCGGTGCCATGGGTCAGGAACCCAGCCTGGTTCAAATGGATTTTCTGCTCAGTGTCTCTCACTTGAGGTATTGCCAGCTGTGCCCCTATAGCAGGATTCTTGCAGAGAGAGCCATGACACCGAGCCTTTTCTTTCCAGAAAGCAACTTTATGCACAACTCAGTCAGTTGGGTTCCTACCTAAAGAAATGAGCCCCGAACTCCACTTGGCATAGTTTTTTATAAATTTTTTACTTCTTTGTCTCCCATATATGGTAACACACAAAATTGTAGTCTGATTTAGTGGTCTCATGTTACAAAGTTGTGAGGGATGTTGTCATGTACACGTATAACCAGGTTGCATTGAGGGTCTTTTTTTCCTTTCCTTAGGTAGGGGACCACACTCCTCCCGTTGATGCTTGGACCCCTCTATTTTGGGTCAAAGAGCATTATCTCAGAGATGAGAGAAGTTAGACAAGGGGTGGGGAATCTGGCCCCCCTCCATTGGGTTTTCTGGCAGTTGAGTTATAAAATCTTTGGTCTAGGCATGTTAAATTTTTAACAGAGATGATGATGAACTTTTTCCCCACCAGGCAAGACATTTTTTTTTCAATTATTGAACATTTGAGGAAACAAACCCCAGTAGGAGGACTGGGGTGTTTTGTTTTGTTTGTGTGGATCTAATTTTCTTTTTTTTTTTTTTTTTTTAACATTCATTTAGTTTTGAGAGAGAGAGTGAGACAAAGTGTGAGCAGAGGAGGGGCAGAAAGAGAAGGAGACACAGAATCCAAAGCAGGCTCCAGGTTCTGAGCAAATGTTCAGCACAGAGCCCAATGCGGGGCTCAAACCCACGAACAGTGAAATCATGACCTGAGTAGAAGTCGGACACTTAACCGACTGAGCCACCCAGGAGCCCCTGTGTGGATCTAATTTTCTAGTCTCTGATGGCTACTGTTTTTGGTGCCAACGAAGCATCCTATCCACAAAAGGAAGGTGAGTGCTAACAGAAACCTCTCACCACATTCCCAGCGGGCCTGGGTGGCCTCTGCCAATCCTACGGTGAAGGGCAGAGCAAGAATCTCAATAACAGTGAGAAACAAGGGGTAACAGTGCATCATAGTAAGGAAACAGATATAGAAAATAAGGACAGTCTTTCATTGCACCAGATCATCGATTCCTCAAGACTCTGCCATGTGTAGATTAGTCAGCTTCCAGAGTGATTAAAGCAGGGCTGCAGTCTCCCGGAGCCTCTGGAGTTGAGGATTGCTTCTTCTGTATGGTCAGCTTGCTCAGCATTGTTGGATCAGGAATGCACCCCCAGTTTTGAGATGCAGCTTCACTCTGCTGTGGTGAATTCACGGACACACTTTGGCTACCTTTACTGTAGTAGGGGTGGACAAAATGACAGTGAATCAGTCCCTCCAGAAGGGTTTTAGGGGTTGGACACTCTCCTCCTTTATCTATAGTGCATCTCCTCTCTTAAAAGGGTGAGCATCTGTGGTCAGACTCACAGGTAATCGCTCCCTGAGCCAGTGGTGAAAGGTGGTTAGGGTAAAGCCAAGGGCCTGCATCTGTTGCTTAGGGTTAGATTGTCTATCTCATTTAGATCCTCCCTTATGCCCTTGATAATGGGGGTGAGGGCACTCATAAAGAATTTTATAAGGGGAGAACCCCATCTGTATTTTAGCCTCTCACTTGCAGCTGCAGTCTGCCTCCCTGAAGGTCCCTTCTCTCTCCCTGCTTAATGTTAACCCTTTCCCTATTTATTTCTCCCCATGGAATAGGGCTCCTAACTGCCATCAAGGAACAGGGACAGGGACCATTCTGGTTTCTTCAAGTTGATAAGGGACGGTGTAGGGGTCGAGCAGTTGCAGTCTACCCAAAGGTCAGTGGAGTGGCCCAGGATATGGCTCTGCAGGAAGGCTGACACGCACAACGTCGCATAAACATTACCAGACACAAAGAGAAAAACACAAAGTAAAGATTGTACTGACCAAAAAGATGGCATCTTAAGATAATGTCCCCAGTTTCCAAACCTGTCAAACAATCTAGGATACACCCTGACTTGGTAAACAATGTATGTCAGGGAATCTCTCATAACCCAGGAGCAGGAACAGTAAGTAATGAAGGGTGGCTCTGATTTCCAACAGTTTGGCCCTAACTCAATTTAAAAACATTTGTAGAGCATCTAATGTTTGTGAGGTGTTATTTAGAGTTTTGCTGAGTATAAGCAGACAGTTTGCTTTATGGTGAGGTGTAAAACGTTTCCAAGAGCCAGGAGTTCTATTAGAGAAAGAGTCAAGCCAGTATTAATTTGCAAATTAAAAATTCACAAAATTTGAAGCCAAACCTGGGTATCATTTCATAAAGCAGAACTTTTATTACTTTTTGTGCCTTTTCTGTCTTGTTGGGGAAGGCCTTTACTCAATTAGTAAAAGTATCAACCCATACCAACAGATGTTGGATTCCTTTGACCTTGGCATATGAGTGAAACTTCCTTGCCTTGGAGAGCAAGTTTATAGTTGAGAGGATTGTTTCTAAGAGATACTTCACAGGCTGATTCTATTTGCTGAACTGTCCTTGACAAATTTTCTTTTAAGTAAACATCCTTTGGGCCATTTGATAAGTTTTGTCCCTCTCTAAATGAAAGGCCTGATGCTGTGTTTTAATGATTTTTAGCTCTGTGAGTCAGACCCCAGTTTCTTTTCTTGGGAGAGTAGGTGAGATTGAATTTCCTTTAATAACTGACATAGCAGCAAACTACTTTCCTGAACCCTGGTATCTACAGCTTACAATATCCAGTAATTCCCCAAAACTCACACAATTATTTTTTTTCTGGAGTTAGTAGCACTATAGTCTCTAATTCAGTTATAATGTCCCTTCCTAGCAGGGGAATAAGGCTCTCTGGTATTATCAAGAAAGAATGAGAAAAAATTAGTTTTCCCCATATGTATCCCAGGGGCTGAAAGAATAATTTAGTTATGAGTTTTCTGGAGATGCCTCTAATCACCATGCTGCATTTGGATAGCTGGCCTGGAGCAGAAAGCAGGACAGAAAAGGGAGCTCTGGTGTCAAGAAGGAAACCAACCAGTTTTCCTTCTATATTTAGAGTAACCCGAGGCTCTGGGTTTCTGATAGACAGTTGGTTTAGGGGAACCATGATGAAGAGCCCCAGGCCCCGTCAGTCCCTTCCAAGGACGGTTGGTTATCTTAGCCCTCACAGATAGAGATCCTCAAGGCATTCAGATCTCCAGTGATTGTCTCCACACAAGAGACGTGGCTCATGGGGTTTTCATTTTCGTTGTCCCCTCTGAGCACAAGCCAGGACCTTGGAAATCTGGTCTGACATAGTATGTAAGGCCACAACTAAGGCCTCCGATTTTTTTTAAGCCCCCCTTCTTTGTTTTGTTTTGTTTTGTTTTAATTCTCCTCTTGATCTTGGTTGTAATATACCCAACTGGCAGCTCGTAAGAGCTCCTCCATGGTCCCTTCTGGACCAACAGCCAATTTCTATAGTTTTCTCCAAATATCTGGGGCTGATCAAGTGAGAAATGTGTCTTTTAGAATAGTCTCAGACTCAGGGGTGTTAGGGGAAATAGCCGTATATTTAATGAGAGCCTCCCTTACCTTTCCAGGAAGGCCAATGGGGTTTTATTTTGTGTCTGTATGATAATGGCTAATTCAGTGTAATTAAAGGTTTAACCTTAGGCTTCCTGACCATATGTAAAATTTCTTTCTAAAGATTTTGGCTTCACAAAACTTTTACAGCTTTCATTTATTTTTAGAATTTGATCTCGGCCCCTTTCCCACCCCCAAACAACCAGGCTCATTTAGGACAAAATTATCTTTCCTTTTTTTTTTAGCTTTAACAACGAATATATTTTTATTCCTTATATATTTTTTTATATATCTATTTTTTTACATGCAGAATTGCTTTCCTTATCCTCATCAGTCTTAACTACACTTGGCAGAATTTTAACTCTTAGAAACTTTAGTCTCAAGTGAAAATTAAGTAATAACCAATTGTGAACTGTTATGTCAGAATTTCTTAGATGACAAACTTATGAATTAATTAAACACAAAGCATGATTTCCAACAGACTCAAATATCTTTAGTTTTTCTGCAACAAGTCAAAAGCACAAACCTACATCTAGTAATTAGTGTTTTAGCTTCTTATCTCATTAGATATCCAATGAATTTAATACCAATTTATCATGCAAGCAAAACCTTTAACATGTTAGGTTACCAAAGACTTTGAATTACCCATGAAAAAGACAGACAAAGTTAATCATTACTTTAAGTCGTTCTTTTGCTAACAAATTGGAACAGAGATAACATGAGCTTATTTGACCTTCAGCAAATCTAGGTAGAATAAAAGTTTGTTAGTTTGTTGTTTTCTTTTTTTAATTTAATGTTGATAAACATTGTCTATCTCAAACCAACAAACTTAAATTAACTTAAACACTAAATATATTTTACTTGGGTCCACCTAAGACAATTTGTTCCTCATGGTTAATTTTTACCTGGAATATTGGTGGGGAAATCTGAGGTGGGTGGTCTTTGCTCCACAACATCAAGGGTGGGAGGCGCTGATGGTTCCTGAGGCATTGAGGAGCCAGTCATGCAGGTCGCATGCTAGGTGGTGCAAAAACGGGAGGGAGAGAAGGGGAGGCAGAAGAGGTGAGGTGCCAGCAGAAGGCAGAGCAAGACAATTCTGTTTTAAATCTTGTTAGCTCAGACAAAGGAGCAGACTCCAGGTTTCTTTTATTTTATCTGGTCTTCCACCAGTGGAATTAGGCAGTCCATGTCAGTCCAGAGAAGACAGTGAATTGCCCCGAAACAAAGGGACTTTCAGCAGCTGCTTGGGAATATTCCTTAAAGTCCCCATTCTGAGGGAGACTAACCAGAGACAGTTGGCTCTAATTATCATAGTCATTGACCCAGGAAATGAATGAGAGAGAAGTCCCCACATACAGTCACACAGCGACTCCAATCCACTGCCCTACACTCAGCTCCTTAGAGTTGTAGCTTTGTTCCTCATCCTTTGTGGAACTACTAGGGCAACTCTGGGAGGTTATCAGACTCCCCATCTGCCTTTTAGGGGCAGGCCTGCCAAAATGAACCCGAGTTCTTACAAGTCTGATGGGCAGTGCTCCCTGATCTGGTTCCTGGGTCTCACTGGTTCCGCTGGAGCACACACGGTCCTTGCCCCAGTGCACCAGGAGGGGCTAGTCTCCTGCAGATCGAGTGATCCGTTGACAACAGGCCAGGTTGCCTCTCGCGGTGCTCCGAGGTTCATAACCCTGGCAGCAAAGGATATGGAAACATACATCTCCGATTCCCAGATGCGAGCCCCCAAGTAATGTAGCATGATTCTCACACAGAGTCATGATATCAAGGCTTTTCTATCCAGGAAGCAACTTTATTCATGCCAGCACAACTCAGTTGGGCTCATACCTGAAAAATTGAGCCCAGAACACCATGTGGTGTATTTCTTAAACATTGTTTACTTCTTTGTTTCCCATATATGGTAACACACAAACATGTAGTCTGATTAAGTGGTCTCACGTTACAAGGTTGTGACGGATATTGTCATGTACACATATAACCAGGTTGCCTTGCGGTTTCTGTTTTGCTTTTTTCTTTCCTTAGGGAGGTGACACTACCACAGTCCCATCTTTCTCTGGGAAAGAATCTGATTCAAAGCTCATTCGGGTTTTTGGCAGAATTTAGTTCTTTGTAAGTGTAAGACTGTGATCCCTCTTGCTTTGCTAATTACCAGCCCGAGGCAACTCAGCTCCTAGAGTTTGTTCCCAGTTTCTTGCCAGTGGTCTTTGCATTCATCTTATACAACATGGCAGCAACAGAATCTCTAAGGTCAGCAGCAGAATCTTCCATGTGTCAAGCCTCCTTCATGGCTTGAGTCTCTGCCTTCAGAAAGATTCCCATTTAAGAGCTCACCTACACCTAATTTTTTCAAGGTCACCGAAGATAATCTCTTTCTTAAAGACAACAAATGAATCATGGAAGTGATGTCCCATCATTCTCAGATCTCTGCCATACTCAAGGGGAAGGAGTAGTACAAGGAGGTAGGCCATTGGGGGACCACCATAGATTTCTATAACAAAGGACAAGATTATAACAAAGGACAAGACTAGAATCAAAGAAACTAGTTTTTAGCCTTTTGCATTTACTCATTCATTTGTTCACTCATTCATCCATTCCTCCATCCATTCTTTCTTCTTTAAATAAAAAGAAAAATCTTCATCACCAATATACCAAACTCTGTGCTAAACTCTGAGGACATAAACAGACATAGATTCTACTCATAAAACCAATGTGGAGTGAGACTAGGTGAGGCAATCCCTAAACATAAAATTAAGATTAGGTGCAATAAAGAATTTAAGGTAAACACAATAATCATTTAGTTCATTTAAAAATATTATTAGTTATGGGGTGCCTGGGTGGCTCAGATGGTTAAGCATCCAACTCTTGGTTTTGGCTCAGGTCATGACCACACAGTTCATGAGTTCGAGCCACACACTAGGCTCTGTATTGACAATGCTGAGCCTGCTTGGAATTCTCTCTCTCTCTCTCTCTCTCTCCTTCTTTCTCTCTCTCTCTCTGCCTCTCCCATACGCTTTCTCTCTATTTCTCAAAATAAATAAATAAACTTTAAAAAACACATATATATTTAGTTATTAGACCATGGGCAATAAAATCTGAAAAAGCTACTCGCACAGAAAAACCACAGGATGAATTAATGTCATCTATGCTGAATTAGGAAGTAATATGGCCATCTTTTTTGAGCTACTAGAGTACTTACAAGATATGCTGTGTATACCAGTTTAAAATATGCAAAAAAATTGCACCAAAACCCATTAAATGCCCAGGAATAAACCTAACCAAAGAGGTGAAAAATCTATACACTGAAATCTATAGAAAGCTTATGAAAGAAATTGAAGAAGACACAAAAAAGTGGGAAAACATTCCATGCTCTTGGATTGGAACGCAAAGCAGTCTACATATTTAATTCAATCCCTATCAAAATAACACCAGGATTCTTCACAGAGATAGAACAAACAATCCTAAAATTTATATGGAACCAGAAAAGACCCCAAATAGCCAAAGCAATATTGAAAAAAAACAAAAACAAAAAAAAAAAAACACCAAAGCTGGAGGCATCACAATCCTGGACTTCAAGATGTATTACAAAGCTGTAATCATCAAGACAGTATGGTATTGGCACAAAAACAGACACATAGATTAGTAGAATAGAATAGAGAACCCAGAAATGGGCCCACAAATATATGACCAACTAATCTTTGACAAAACAGGAAAGAGTATCCAATGGAATAAAGACAGTCTCTTTGACAAATGGTGTTGGGAAAACTGGACAGCAACATGCAAAAGAATGAACCTGGACCACTTGTTTACACCATACAGAAAAATAAACTCAAAATGGGTGAAAGACCTAAACGTTATGACAGAAAGCCATCAAAATCCTAGAGGAGAAAGCAGGCAAAAACCTCTTTGACCTCGGCAGCAGCAACTTCTTACTCAACACATCTTCAGAGGCAAGGGAAACAAGCAAAAATGAATTATTGGGACCTCATCAAGATAAAAATCTTCTGCAAAGCAAAGGAAACAATCACCAAAACTAAAAGGCACCCAACAGAATGGGAGAATATATTTGCAAATGATACAGATAAAGGGTTAGTATCCAAAATCCATAAAGAACTTATGAAAATCAATACCCAAGAAACAAATAATCCAGTGAAGAAATGGGCAAAGGACATGAATAGATACTTTTCCAAAGAAGCATCCAGATGGTCAACAGACACATGAAAAAAATGCTCAACATCACTCATCATCAGGGAAATACAAATAAAAACCACAACGAGATAGCACCTCACACCAGTCAGAATGGCTAAAATTAACAACTCGGGAAACAACAGATGTTGGTGAGGATGCAGAGAAAGAGGATCTCTTTTGCACTGCTGGTGGAAATGCACACTGGTGCAGCCACTCTGCAAAACAGTATGAAGGTTTCTCAAAAAGTTAAAAATAGGGGCCCCTCAGTGGCTCAGTCAGTAAAGTCAGGTCATGATCTCATGGCTTATGGGTTCGAGCCCTACATTGGGCTCTGTGCTGAGAGCTCAGAGCCTGGAGCCCACTTCGGATTCTGTGTCTCCCTCACTCTCTCTTTCTCTGCCCCTTCCACACTCATGTTCTGTCTCTCTTTCAAAATAAATAAACATTTTTTTAAAAGTTAAAAATAGAACTACCCTACAACCCAGCAATTGCACTACTATGTATTTATCCAAGGGATATTGGTGTGCTGTTTTGAAGGGGCACATGCACCCCAATGTTTATAGCAGTGCTATAAACAATACTTTGACAATAGCCAAAGTATGGAAAGAGCCCAAATGTCCATTGATGGATAAATGGATATATACACTGTACATATACAATGGAGTATTACCTGGCCATCAAAAAGAATGAAATCTTGTCATTCACAACAACATGGATGGAATGAGAGAGTATTATGCTAAGCGAAATAAGTCAGTCAGAGAAAGACAAATATCACATAACTTCACTCATATGTGGAATTTAATATACAAAACAGATGGACATAAGGGAAGGGAAGAAAAAGTAATATAAAAATGGGAAGGGGGACAAAACATAAGAGACTCTTAAATACAGAGAACAAACTAAGGGTTGCTGGAGGGGCTGTGGCGGGGTGGGGGGGATGGGCTATATGGGTGATTGGCATTAAGGAGAGCACTTGTTGGAATGAGCACTGGGTGTTATACATGGGGTGAATCACTGGAATCTACTCCTGAAATCATTATTTCACTACATGCTAACTAACTTGGATGCAAATCAAAAATAAAAAATTTTTTGAAAAAAATATGTAAAAAATACACATATATAAAAATATACTGATACTCTCAAAAATTTTTAAGAATGCTCTTTATTTATATGGAAATGAAACTTCCTAAAAAGATTTCTGGGGCTGTTTAAAGAGGAAAACAAATGGAAGATGGAGAGATATGAATACAGGATATTCCCATCATCCAGGTCATAGGTTGGTTGTAACAATAAGTGGATGAAATTATTGCCAGATCTGCCTGGAGTAAAGCCCTAAGCCCTGTACTCCAGACCCCAGAAACTGAAATGGCCCAAGTTTTTTTTTCGTCACTTGAGACATTCCTGTAGCTGGATAAGGGAGCCACCTCTAAAAGCAGCGAGCATCAGCCATGCTGGGTGGCTGGTCAGGAAGACCGGGAGCCAGAGCATCTCCCTGAAGGGCATTAAGGTTTGGCTCTGCTTTCCTCTCCTTCATCGTTCTTCCTGTTCTTCTTCTGCAGCCTCTCCCTGCTACAAACTTGGGGTCATTTATTTCCCAGGACTGTCTTGCCTCAAGATTTCATTTTCTTTCCATCCGCTTTACTTCCTCACCTCATAGTTCTGTCTTTTCATAGTTCTGCCTTCCCGACATTTTTCCTTCCTTGGCTTTCTCCTTTTCTCCTCTGTAGTTTTCCTCCACCAATGCTGGCCACAGCCTAGCTGCTTAACATACATTAGAAACGAATTACATGAAGTAGGTGAGTGACACGTTAGAAACCCCAAAGATGGGGCGCCTTGGTGGCTCAGTTAAGCGTCCGACTTTGGCTCAGGTCATGATCCTGCGGTTCATGGGTGAAGTCCCGTGTTGGGTTCTGTGCTGACAGCTCAGAGTCTGGAGCCTGTTTCAGTTCTGTGTCTCCCTTTCTCTCTGCCCCTCCCCCACTCATGCTCTGTCTCTTTCTGACTCAAAAATAAATAAACTATAAAAAAAAAGAAACCCTAAAGATTAAAAAAGAGCCTAGTCAGATCCATTTTGACACAATCCACTTTTCTAAAGGGAGGATAGAGCATATGTAAAGAAAAATGTTTCCTTGAGAAAATAAAAGTAATAAAAATGAGTGTTTTCCTTATGATTAAACATTTATCTCATCAGTTATTGATTTCATATTATTCTGTATTATAGAGGAACAGGAAACTGATTTAAACTCAGATTTAGTCTAGGAAAAATAACCTACAATGCTTATGTAATTTCAGATTGTGGGCTGTGATAAACTACGGCATGATAAGTGTCAAATTTAAAAGGTTTGCTGCAAAGACATTAATCATTTATATTATTACATGAAAAAGCGTGTTTCATAATAATATGTTCACCAGAATCATGGACACAAAACAGATACATTTAAAAGAAATACAAATTTCACTCTTCCAGCTCAAGTGTATAAGCCATCATTTTCTTTAAATCAATGTAAATTCATTTCTGAATCCCTCTGCCAGAGTTTTGGGGCTTAATTCTCCACCATTGGAGGGGCTCTCCACTTTCAGAAATGGACCAGGGATCGAGTCCAGCAACAGGATAATACGCATCCTGCAGCAATTAGGGTAAGTGTCCTAAGTGAGCCATTCCAGGGACAAGCGCTTGGCTGTGGCCCTTCTCCATCGATTCCTGGACAAACGTACTTCCACAGCTTTCCTTTGACACCCACATAATGCATTCTTGCTCTTTAAGTCAATGAGAGTTGATGAATACCACACATTCTGATATGCCAGTGACTCCCAAATGTATGTCTTCAGTCCCAACGTCTCCCCAGAACATCAAGTGACCCACTTAAAATCTCTGTTGGATGTTTAAAAGGCATCCAAAACCAGCCAATTTCTCACCGTTTGCCTGAACCCCACGTGGGCCCTTTGAACTCACCTCATAATTGGTCATTTTCATAGGATTCTCAAAAGTCATGATTGGGTCCCACCAAAAGTAATGAACACCTCACAGATACTGAATGGTCAAAGCTGTTACCAGGGGTGCTGTACAATTGTAACTGGTGCTTATGTGATGATGCTACATGTACTGTAACACCCCCATCCCTTACTCCTTAAAAGCCCTGTTCGCTATTGTTCTTCGCTTCACCTTGCTGCCATGACACTGGTAGGCTGGTGAGCCCCTGCTCGAGCTTGTAATAAAGACCCTTTTGTACTTGCATCGGTGTTGGCTCCTTGGTGGTCTCTGGGGACTAGCGAATCGGGCACAACAATCCCAATACCCACCTGGTTTTATTAAAGAATTCCCTTTTATTTCTCTTTTCGTACCCCAATTTCCAAATTATGAGCAAAGCTGTCACGACAATATATTTTTCTAATATTTAGAATCTAAAACATTACCTTGTTTAGCCTAGATAATGATACAAACTATGTCTTGGTGTTTCAGTTATCTGTTGCTGCATAACAAAGCACCTCTAACATTTAATCACTGAAAACAACACAATTTACTATTTACAGGGTGCTCTACCTTAGCCATTAAGGGCTTCTGCTTCAATGGATTTCAGCTGAGATGTGGAACAGCTGTAAGGTCCAAAATGAGCTCACTACCAAGACTGGAAATTGAAAGTTGTTTCCGGCCACTGGTTAGAAGCTCTCCTGGGCCTGCTGACCAGAAGTCTCAATTTTCTTTGACATTCCTTTTTCACGGTAGAGTGAGCCAAAAGCCGATTCTTTGCAAAGACAAATAAAATTGATGAACTCCTAGAAAGACAGATCAAGAGAATAACAGGATGAGAGGGGAGAGGAAAAGACAAAACACAAATTAGCAATATTAGATATGACAGAGTGGGCATCACTAATAATTTAATTCTAAATAATAAAAAGAAGATATTATTAACAGCTTACATCAACATATGTATAAAATGGAAAATTATCTAGGAAAACAACTGACAGAAGAAAACATAGAAAATACAAGTTTTCTACTCTCCAGTAATTAAACCCATTCTTTAAAATGTTCCCACAAAAAGACATGAACAAACACAAAGTTCTAAAAATGCCTATCAAACATATGAAAAAGTATTAAACACACTCATAATTAGACAAGTAAAAACGTAGAAAGCATTGATACACCATTCCTCATCTATGAGATTTAAATTTTTTAAGAACTTTAAAGCACATTCTATTGGTGAAACTAGGGGGAAACTGGCACTCATATATTACTGGTAAAAAGATAAGCTGATACAGCATTTCAGGAGGGAATCAAACAATATTAAGTAAAGTACACATATCTTTTGGCCCACAACCCCACATCTAGAAATCTGCCTTGAAAATACACCTCCAACAATGCAAAAAAAGAAAAAAAGAAAGAAAGAAAAGAGTATAACAAGCTTATGTTGCAGCATTGTTTGTAATTGCAACATATTGGAAACAACCTACATGCCCATGCATGAAGATCATGTAAAGAAACAAGGGTACACAAAGAACTATGCAGTGGCCAAACAAGAAAGAAGATCTCACTGAACTGATAGGAAACAATTTCCAGAATATACTGTGAAGTGAAAAAAGCCAGGGCAAAAAAAGAGTATCTGTAGTAATCCATCTTACATGTAAAAAAAGAAGAAATATAAGAAAATGTTTTGCACTCGTTTGTGCAAAAGAAATACAGGGGTGATAAGCCAGAAACTAAAGAGCTTGGCTACCAACAGGTGGGAGGGAGTAGAATAAAATGAGGATGAACAGGAAATAGTAGGTATGAGGGATAACATTCCTTCTCTAAGTATACAGGTATACCCTATGAATGAGTAAACTCTTAGAATGACAGTCATATTTCATATACCAATATGAAATATATATATAAATAATTAAAGTCAATCAAGATGTGGGAAGAGTCTAAAATACCATACAGACAATAACAAATTAACCTGTGTGCACATATATAACATAAACACATTAGAGGGGAGAGATAGGGAAGAAAAGAACTGGCCTAAGTATCCACAGAAAACAGTATTTTGACTGTATTCTAAGGCTGAAGGCAAAGGAAACTACAACACTGTACTCTAGTCAATAAATGTGTTAGCAAGAGGGGTTTGGGTTAGCAATTGTTTAGTGTTTATTTATTTGAGAGAGAAAGAGAGAGAGCGGGGAAAGGGCTGAGAGAGAGGAAGAGAGAGAATCCCAACAGGCTCCACACTGTCAACACAGAGCCCAATGTGGGGCTTGAACCCAAGAACCCTGAGATCATGACCTGAGCTAAAATCAAGAGTTGTTTAACCAACTGAGCCACCCAGGCATCCCTGGGTTAGCAATTTTGAACCAAATTAATGTTGAAGATAAAATTAAATATATTGTAAACAATAAGAGATAGGCTCTTTGTCAAAGAAGTTACAATTAAGAAAATAAAGAAGACACTATCATATATTCCTGGATCTGTCCACCGAGAAAGCCTAGAAGTAATAATACTATAGCAGAGAGCACTCTTAGTTCTAAGATCTTGGTTTCTAAATATCATTCTCCAGAGCTCTCTGGAGAAATGTCTGATTCCAGGTCTGAGACAGGAAAAATAGAAAATGAATCTGCACTTTCTTGGGGTGCCAGAAAGTAAGGAGGTGCTCAAAAAAACAAAAAACAAACAAACAAAAACTGGGTGCACGTCGAGAAAACACAGAATGGCCAAAGGAGGAATAATTTGAGAAACAAAATAAATAATAATAGTAGTGGATTATGACCCACAGAATAAAATAAATAGCCATGAGTCTATTGTTTAATTATAAACAAATAAATGAGAGATAAATTACCACTCTGAGTTCCAAGTAATAAATGTAGAAAAAGTGAGAATACAAAATCAACATTAGGTAAACTTCATAGTAATCATTTTTGCACGGAAGATCCATCACTGTGTGCTAAAATTAGTAAGTGTACATTTGAGGAGAAACAGGATATTTACAGTTTCAAAGTACCTTCTGCAAGATGTTTATTAATTTTGAAGAAAAAGATAGCAATTTAGAGTAGAGAATCCTGCAGACACCACCTTGGCTAAGTGATGAAGGTTAACATTGTCGGGACAGACATACTGATATCATGCACTTCCAGTTACGCCCAGAGAAGAGCACATCACCCCTGGTGTTCTTGCCAAACATTCATTACCTTCATTTACTCAGGAGTAAACATCTGACAAAGTCAAAGTGAGGCATATTTTTAAAAATAACTGACTAAAATTCTTTAAAAGTGTCGAGGTCATGAAAGACGACGAGAGAATGAGGAACTGGCATAGACTGGAGACTAAGAAAACGCCTACAAACAATATGGGACCTTCAGTGAATCCTGGGAGAAAGAAACTAGCAGAAAAACTGATGAACTTGAATGGTAGCTGTAATTTCGGTAATAATATAATTCCAGTATTAATTTTCTAGTTTGATAATTGTATTATGATTTTTGATGGTTTTACTTCTTTAATTTAAATCAAAGGTAGTTAATATATTGTGTAATAATGGTTCCAGGAGTGGAATTTAGTGATTTCTCACTTACTTATAACACCCAGTGCTCATCCCAACAAATGCCCTCCTTAACGCCCATCATCCATTTGGCCCATCTCCCTACCCAACACCCCTCCAGCAACCCTCAGTTTGTTCTCTGTATTTAAGAGTCTCTTGTGGTTTGCCTCCCTTTCTGGAGACAATAATATTAAAGGAAGCTGGGTTGAGTATATATGGGAACTTCCCTATGTTTGCAATTTTCTCTTTCTAAAATTACTCAAAATAAACATTTAAAGGAAAACCTTCTTATAAAGAAAATCCTAAACCTAGGTGTCTCTGCTCATGAATTCTTTTAAATATTAGAGGAGTAAGCTAATAGAAACCTTACACAAAATCTTTAAGAACACTTCCAAACTCTTGACAACAGGATATGACAAAACTGACAAAAGATATTTTAAACTGACAAAGATATTATAAGACAAGAAAGGAAAACTATAAACTAGTATCAATATATATACAAAAATCTTAAACACAGTATTAGCAAATTGAGTCTACTGATAAAAGGATAGAACATAACAATGACAGGTTCACTGAAGTAATACAGGGTGTCTACATTGAAAAAGCAATGTAATTTGGCATATTAATGAACAAGAAAGATAAAAATAATATGATACTATCAATTCAAGGGGGAAATACCTAAAATCTGACACCCACTCATGATTAAAAAAAAAAAAAGCTTAACCAGAAATAGAATAAGCTTTCCTTAATCCAATAGCATATCTAGTAATAAAAAAATACAACATGAATATTTAATGGTGTTATAATGAAAAATTTTCCAAGACCAAGAGTATTTCTTCTTTCCAGTTCTAGTCAATATTGTACCAAAGGTCTCAAATCTAGGTAAGCAATAAGTCAAGATATAGGAATAAAAAGTATACAGATTAGAAAGGAAAAAATAAACCTAGTTCTTTGCATAAGCATGATTGTGTATGAGAAATACAAGGAAGAAGGTACAGATACACTATTAGCATTCATATGTGAATCTAGCAAGTTCAGTAGATAAAAGGTAAATTGCTAAAAACCTATTGGATTTCTGTACCAGAACAGCAAAATTAATAATAAATGCAAAAGATACCCTTTACAATAACATCAATATACATAAAAATTTTAGGAATATATCTATTATATGATTTACAAGAATAGAACTAACTAAACAGAAAAATATACCATTATTGGAGAAGAAATTATAAAAACATCATTATAGAGATGTTATATCAGCCTGGATACAATCAGGAGAAAGAAACGACACAGTAATTTGACCTAGAAAAGTTTAATTCAAATAACTATTTACATAGTTAGCTAGAAGTAAAAAACTAAAAACTACAGTAGATAGCAGATGTGAGGAATAATCTCACCCTTAGGGTGAAATAGAACACACAGGAAGATGTCCCAGCAGGTCTAAGGACAAGACCTGGCCTTGGCTCACTAAACGAAAAAAAAAAAAAAAAAGTGCCAGTGGTGGGGCAGTGAATGAAAACTGCTGGAAATTCACCTTCTACCAGGCTAGGGAAAACCGCTCAGAGAGGTGTCTCACTGAAGTCACGCGACTACACAGCCCCTCAAGGGAAAACACTGGGGAAAGCAGCAGGCTTCTGGGCGCTGCTGGCCACCACTCACCGAAGGGGCCTGGTCCTGGGTAGCAGGAGCTGATCCCCGAAGAAGCCACACGTTTCAGAACTGGCAGAACCAGGAACCCAAACTCTTCCCTTGCAATGTCTCTCCAGCGCCCTCTACTGACAAAACTGAACTTTGAGCCAGCAGGCAAGGAAAAAAAACACTTAAAGGGACCGTTTGCATTTCAGAGACTCAGCAATGAAGGATAAATTTGGAACTAAGGAGCAATAAATTGATAATAGGAACAGAAGAAGAACAACAAAACTTGAGGACTCACTATTATAAAACTATTGTAAAACCATTATAAATACGACAATGTGTTACTGATGAAAAAGAGACAAACTGACCAATTGAACAGAATGGAGTCCAGAGACAGACTCACACATGCTTAGTCACCTGATTAGTGACAAACTCACACTGCAGTACAGACAAGAAATGGTGGCATATTCAATTAATGGTTCTGAGTTAACCAGATAGGCTTACAGGAAAAAAAATAATTTTGGTCCATACTTCTAAATCAGTCCCAGATGGATTGCAAATCTGAATGTGAAAGGTAAAACAACACACCTTTAGAAGAAAATTATATGACAACCTTTCCAGACTTTAGAGTAGACGAAGCATTCTTATATAAGGTGCAAAAAGTGCCAGCCATAAAATCTGACAAAGCGAAAAATATTAAAATGAAGGATTTTGTATCAAATGACACACATTCATTCAGTGGGAATGAAAATGTATCCCACAAATTCAGAGAAGAGATTTTCAATTCTTATATTCAACAGAGAACTCATCTCCAGAATATTTCAAGAAAACCCACAAATCATAATAGACAAACCAATAGAAAAATGAGCACTTCCTAAATGACCAATAGTCATATGCAAAGGTACTCAACTTTGTCAGTCATCAAGAAAATGAAAAACTAAAACCACAATGAGATGCCACTATTCACCCAAAACTAAAAACACCAACCACTTGTTAGCTAGAATGCGGCACAATGGCAGTTCTGGTTGTGGAACTAGAAACTGGTACAACTACTTTAAAAACTCACAGGGGCACGTGGGTGGCTCAGTCGGTTAGGCGTCCAACTTTGGCTCAGGTCATGATCTCATGTTTCCCGGGTTCGAGCCCTGCGTGGGGCTCTGTGCTGACAGCCAGCTCAGAGCCTGGAGCCTGTTTCAGAGTCTGTGTCTTCCTCTCTCTCTGACCCTCTGCTGCTGACGCTGTATCTCTCTCTCACTCTCAGAAATAAATAAGAACATTAAAAAAAAATTTAAATAAAATAATTTTAAAAAACCCTCACAGGCAGGTCACCTGGGTGGCTCAGTCGGGTTGAGCATTGTACTCAATTTCATGATCCCAGGGTTGTGGGATCGAGCCCTGCGTCAGGCTTTGTGCGGAGCATGGAGCCTGCTTAAGATTCTCTCTCCCTCTGCCCCTCTCCCCTGCTCTCTCTCTCTGTCTCTCCTCTCTCTCTCAAAATAAAAATAAAAACTCACGAGGCGCCTGGGTGGCTCAATCAGTTAAGCACCCAACTTTGGCTCAGGTCATGATCTCATGGTTTGTGATTTCTAGCCCTGCGTGGGGCTCTGTGCTGACAGCTCAGAGACTGGAACCTGCTTCAGATTCTGCGTCTCCCTCTCTCTCTGCCCCTCCTCCACTCGTGTTCTGTTTCTCTCTGTCTCAATCATAAATAAGTATTAAAAAAAAATTTTAACTGAACATTTAAAAAAATAAAATAAATAAAAATTTTAAAAAATAAAAAATAAAAACTCACAGGCAACACCAATGAAAGCTGAGTGTGTGCATAGCTTATGACTTAGCAATTCTTCTACCTGTGTGTTCTCATAAGCTTTTGGGACATGCACAAGAATGTTCATAGCATTCTCAGACTTTAAACTACTCCAATGCCCATTAACGACAAAACAGATATATTATGGTATATGCACAAAATGGATTACTGTACAGCCCCAGGAACAAAAGAACCACATCTACAACACAATATACATACATGAGTGTCACAAACATAACGTTAAGCGAAGGAAGCCAGATGGAAAAAGAATACATACTGTGTGATTTCCCAAAGTTCAAGCATAATCAAAACCTACTTGTGGTGTTACTCATCAAAATAGTGGCTGCCCGTGCAGGGGTAGTGACTAGAAGCAGGGGCAAAGGAAATGTTCTGGGTGCTGGTTACATAGGTGTGTTCAAGTCGTGGTGATTCATTGAACTATATACACTTGTGACTTACATATTTTCTGTATGTATGTATGTATGTTATATACTTCAGTACATTGTTTTTAAAAGAGAGGAAAGAAAAGCAAGCAAAACCAGAAAATATGATGACATCAAATGAACTCACGATTTAAGTGTGCTGGGTCTATGATAGGAAAAAATCTCATTCTAGCTGCCGTCTTCATTTGGAATAAATATTCTCTGGCCACAAGGGGGTTCTCTTGCTACACTCCTTTATTTATGACCGTACATATTTTCTAGATTCTATTGGTGTTCTAATGCATTTTACCTATTTATCTTTGAAGGGTTCAACATGGCACACTCTTAGCTGAAAATCCATAAACGTATAGAATACAACATAAACCATGAAGTTTCTTCACAATTATTCTGAAAATAGTCATCCAACAAGTACTGGACAAAAACCTGTATCTGATTACTAGAAAAATGCATCCAAATTTGATACTTAAATCTACTCCTTGTCATTTCTAGACTTTGTTCTTCCTTTGCTTCTTACGACCAAAATTCTCTGTTTTGGACACATAAACTATGAAGGCAACTGAGGTATTTTTGTCACCTACATCCTGTCTCTAACTGCTCTTGAACGAACAACTGAGTAACACTCACAGATGGTTTTATCCTAAGTGTTGTCATGTTTAAACCATTTGTATAATCCACATTGTAGGGCTCTGCTAATTCCTGCTTCGATCATTATTTGCTTTCTGCTAAATTTCGACAATCATTTCAGCCTATTATGATATTTTCAACCCGATTCAATTATCAAGCTAGATTCCACAAATCTTATGATAGACACAAATGTACCGAATGCCTCATATCTCATAATGTGTCTAGCATAAAGTAATACTCAATAATATACATTTCATCAATTTGGTGAAATAGTATATTTAGGAACAGGACAATTGAATCCAGAAAAATTATAAAGTGAATTTACATTTCTCTATCTTGTCCATAATTTTTTAATATTTCTTCTTTTCTTCTTTTTTGAAATCCATGTATCTTACATCTACAGCAAACCTACTTCACAAAGAGATTTAGGTTGTTCTGGCAAAACCTCTTTTTGACTAATTTATGATGGTACCTGATGATAATTGCTTTCTTTTATAAGTTTGTTCATTTATTCATTTAATCATTCATTTGCCAAATGTAGATGAAGTAGCTGCAAGGTACTTTTTAGATGCTGGGGATGAGGACCTTGAATATGACAAACATAGTTCAAGGAGCCTTATTTCCAGTGGGATAAAAATGGAAAATAGGGACGCCTGGGTGGCTCCATCAGTTAAGCATCCAACTTCAGCTCAGGTCATGATCTTATAGTCAACTCCGTGGGTTGGACCCCCGCATCGGTCTCTGTGCTGACGCTGAGAGCCTGGAGCCTGCTTCAGATTCTGTGTCTCCCTATCTCTCTGCCCCTACTCCGCTCGTACTGTGTCTCTCTCTCTCAAAAATAAACCGGAAAATAAATACGTGAATAAACAAGTTAGCAAGCTAACCTCACATCACAGTAAGTCCTGATAAGCTAATAGAAGCAAGCTTGGGGCAGCAAAGAGTTAAAGGGAGAAAAGATACTTGCAATCGGGTAGTCAGCAAAGACCTCTTTGAAAAAGGATCATCTTATTTGAGACCTGATTTAACCATGACAGGTAGTTTGTGTTTAATTCCAAGTGTAATAGGGAGCCACTGAAGATTTCCAATGAAAGAAAGATATGATCATCCTGATAAATTAAAAGCATTCTTGTGGATGCTGAGAAGAAGATGGATTGCAAGGGAAGGTGGCAAAATTGGGTTATTTATCTAAGTGGTTATGATGGACTGGCATAGGGTGGTGATGGTCAGGATAAAAATAAGTGAAAAAATAGGGGAAATACTTTAGAGGTAAATCCAGGAGACTTTGCTGATGGATTGTATATGGGACTAATAGAAGGAGAGAAACAAAGAATAACTTCTAAATGTTTGGCTTAAGCATTTGACTCTATATAGGTGTCATTTTCCAAACCAAAGGGAAACTGAAGAAAGACCAGATCTGGACCCCAGATCCAAAGGTTTCATTCTGGATGTACAAGGCTAGATGCTAAACAACCTCATGGTGTTTTGTGGCTGTTAGACATGAGAGAATTGAGGGGCTCCCTAAGGACGCTAAGGAGCCCTAAGGGGCCCTAAAGGGCTCCCTAAGGTTTTGTTCAGACCCTTACTTTCCTCTCCTCTCTTCATCTGCAAGCTGATCTTGGAAATTTTAGTAGAATAAATATCCCAGGTTTTATTTAGATAATGTTCAATGATTCACCCTTCAACCCCCACAACCTAACATGTCCCTGAACAGCCATTACTTAAAACAGAGTATGCAGTTTAACATAGCTTATATACTGTGCCTTTATTTCATTCCCCTCCCCAGAGAGTAAAACACGTTGTAGGAATCAGGAACCATTTCTTGTCGGAAATCAGGAACTGGAATTTTTCTGTCCATGTTTGTATCACCTGAACCAATGCTAATATTTATATAAAACACATTAATGAAACCAGAGATTCTGTAGACAACATATTATCATTTTAAAAACACTTTTAAGCCAGCTCAAAGACCATAACTTTGACAACTTTTTTATAAGGCAGATAAAGCATTGTTTGCTGACTTACATGTGTTTTCTCCAGTAACCTGATAGGTCAGGTCAATCCTAGCAGCTAAACCTGTTTGGCAAAATAAAGGGAGATTTACCTAAGTGCAGTTGCACCCCACTTAAGTCACTGAATGACTTCACTTTTTGATTTAAAGAAAACGACTCATAAAAAAAATAGCATGGTTTAATTTCAGTCAGAATATAAAATAATGAGAAAGCCAGGCGAGAGAGGGAGG